ACTGGCCAGTATGTGAGGTAGGGCGCTGTGCTGCCCTAACGACTTAATATGCGCAACTTCATCTACGATACGATAGCCATTTTTAATAAAGCCCGTTTTTCGAATCCGTTTTTTTCTCTTCTCTCGTGGACGCTCTTGACTCTCGAGCGCTCTCACGACTCCTATGGATTTTTGGATATGTTGTTATTCTTATGAGACTAAGATACTTCTTCGAGATGCGAGGCGAGCCGGAACACACGGAACCAAAGACGAGATGCGCGTGAACAACAGACGTTCTCACGCGGGTTGATGATGGTGCGCTGTCATGACAAATAAATAACGCGATAACGCGAGCGTTATCGCAATTATTTATTTTTATCAATTTCCAAGATGCACGGGCCTAGGAGGTGCTGAGGACGCTTGTGCATGCCGCCCGCCCCAGCTTGATGGTGCAACTGGGTGGGAAGGCCAGACCCGCGCAGCCGTCTGAAGTGAATGCATGAGCGGAGCCAGATGGTGGCCATGCGCCCGACCCCAGAGTTAGATGCTGTATCGGTCGCAGATGACAATCACAGAACCCGTCAAGCTATGCAAATGAATCGCCTCAGACGTAACAAGATGCAGAATGTCCGACGGTTTCGCAATCAAACCGGGCAAAGCGCGGCGATTACTTAATTGGTTCTGGTCCCGCGCTTTGCTCACGTACCACATTGGAAGCTGGCAAGAAATCGGCGTCCGGTGGAAGGGCAGGCCCATCGACATGCAAATGGCGACTTACCACACGCACCAATCGCAACACAAGCCCAAAACCAATCAAACTGGCTTAAACGACAAGGACCAGGGACGAGCAAAATTCGGTTAGTAAGTTACCAGCAGACGCAAACAACTAGGCTTGCGTCTCTACACTCGCTGTGCGTTTACAGGTCCCTGCGTCCCTGGGTATCTAGTCGAACAAACTGAAACGCGATGCTTCTGCCTGCGGCACCGGCAGAGCCCCCACGCAAGCCGCGCCTTGAATTCCTCCGCTAACTTCTCCATACTGTACCACTTCAGCCTTTCGCAGAAGGTCGCGACTTGGTTGCAATAGATCACGGTGGACCCCTTCAAGTTCTCTAGCATTAATCATGATACAGCATTTTTTCATACTCTTACTCACAAGAAAATACCGACACGAAGCAAGAGAAGACGATGGAGATGCGCACTACCAGCAGAACAAGTCTGCTACATCAATACATGAATAAGATGTAGATTTCGAGCTAAAAGAATAGCATTAATAGGCTCAAGTACAGCGACAACATAAGTACTTGCAGCTCCGAAAGCTGTAGTTATGACCCCTATTCCGAGCCGAGGCCCCGTGCCCGCGACCGGCCATCGGTCACAATTATTGTCACGGCCCAGGCAGTCTTTGCAACGACGAATTATTTTTTCGAGTGAATCGCCGGCCGCTTTCGCTCTCCCATCCTCCCAATGTGGAGGACACCAAGCCGCACCTTCACACGTGCCGCCTTGGAGTACAAGACGCCACGCTTCCGGATCCTCGGGATGGAATAACTGACTCATTCGTCTTAGAAGACAAACACGCTTAAACCCCATGACTCGCAAATTCGATCTGTCAAAACATCGGCAACCGTCCTCGCCTCTCGCGGGGCAAAAGGACTCGGATTCCATTCCATTGAGCAAACACAATCCCTCCACGATGGAGTCCTCCGAAGGCAAAGACTTGGACACAAGAGTAAAACTTTCCGGGTTAATGGCCGACGCTGGAACTGAGTTCGACGCGAATTTTACGTCTGCACAAATTCTATCAAGATACTCAACGGCTTCTCGAACTTTCTGCTTTTCCGCTGCGCGAACAGCCTGACGCCCTGCTCTAGGGTCCATGTCACTGTCTTCCCAGTGAACGCTTAAACCATAAAGCAACCAACACTAAACTCAATCTTCAACAGCCTTCTTTTCTAAATCCGTCACAGCTGTTTCTCTCACTCAGAGGCTATCAGTATCATCCTCGGCGATAATTCGCGACAATTTGCCAACTTTTCAAATAGAAACAGCAATGCTTAGTCCTCCTATCTCAAAACGAAGCACGCTAACTTCCAAAAGAACAAGAACTGATTGCTTCCTCTCAATCTCACCAGGCACAGTCTGGCAATCACTCATGTAAATAAGAATCTGGGGAGGCATCACTCCCGCCTTGAAGTGCAAAACTTAATGTAGACACAAACCAAAACAACATCAACAAAAAAACTAGACGGGAAACGAACCACCCCAGAAAGTGACTGACAGAAACGAGGGTAAGCTTTTGCCTAAGCGCCAGCCTAACGAGCCACGATTCTAGAACCTCTAACCGGGATGGGTGGGCTGGGAAAAAAAAGAACCTTGAAGCTTCACCCGAACGAAGAAATGGCGACAACACCAAGAAAGAAGAAACGCAAGAAGTAAGAACAATGAATACAACAGAAAGAAAAGAAAACAGGAAAGAAAGAAGAGAGCTTAAGTTGGGTCTTCGCACTCTAGGACCAGCACAGACTCATATCTTTTTGCTAATCTCGAGTTTCTCAGTTTTCTCTTTCGTCCTTTATCTCTGCAGTGAGCGCCCGTTTAAGCTAGCTCAAACGGCCCACTCACGCTGAGATTAAGAACTACAACTAGATCTATTAATTTTATGAAGAAGGTGGGGAAAGAGACCACAAGGACCTTATGCGGTATGCTTCGCTACCAGCAAATTCTTTGACGAAGATATTCTATTTTGGATATTAGAAACAGAGCTAAAACTTAATAAATGGCTCTCCTCATTGGACACACTGGCCATCGCTCCGCGCCTAGGAAGGCAAGCACGCAGACGACGACGGCTAACAGTACCCAAGCGGAGAGACAACAAACAACGCGAGCACCGAAGGCGAAGCAAGAAACCAATAAGAAACCACGAAGAAAAAGAAGATATGGCAATTAAGCGGCAAACAACGAGACGAGCCTTAATTGACCCGCGGTAAACGCAAAATGATGGCCGAAGCACAAATAGAAAGGCTCAATGTGAACCGAACGAAGAATAATGGTGACAACACTATGAAAGAAGAAAAACAAGAAGAACAATGAATCAATACAACAGAAAGAAAAGAAAACAGGAAAGAAAGAAGAGGTCTGCAGTTGGGTCTTCGCACTCTAGGCCCAGTTCAGATTCTTACTTTTTTTCTAATCTCGCGTTTCCCAATCTTCTCTTTCGTCCTTTATCTCTGCAGTGAACGCCCGTTTAAGCTAACTCAAACGGCCAATTCAATTATCGTCGTGTAGGTGTAACAAATGTTCAGATGATCTTTCTCGTAACCAGCCGGGTTCATGATGAGTATACTCAACATTACAGGAGGTCGCATAATCAAGATCAATCTACGTCGACTTCTAGGTTTCGCGTAAAAAGTTAGAGCGCCCTACCCAAGGCAGGGACCTAGATGTTGTATTCGGATACGATTTCGCGAAACAAGTCTTCGAAGTTTCCACCACTTGACGCCGACCGAGGAGCGTCTTTCGACGGCGTTGTACCTTTTGCCTCCGCTCCTCCTGGATTTGACCTTGCGCTATCGGTTTTTTTCATTGTCGAGTCAGCAGCCCTTTGTTGGCCTCCCGCTCCACCTCCAAGTCCAGCGCCTTTTTTCATCGCGGTTGTTCTCTTCATCGGTTGTGTCCCCAAGACCCCGGAGTGAAGTGCGGAAGACGCCGCGCTGGATGATGCTCCACCACCTAGAGTGGTGCCGCCCAATGGCGGTCCACCTTGATGTCGAGACGTTGGTGCTCCGGTAAAGTTGCCAGCACCTGCACTAGAAGATGAGCCTTTGGTGGGTGAAGTCTTTTTCTGCAAAAATTTCAACTGTGGTTGGACGCCTTGATCAGTTGGTGCGGCCCTCTTGTTCTTGCCTTTCCCCTTGGCGCTCGTCCCTGCTTTTGCATTCGCCTTTGCTCTGGCACTTGCCATTCCAGATGCAGATGTTCTCGATAACGTCGAGTCTTGTTTTGCGAGGGCAAGAAAGCCACTTGAGGACGACGATGTTGCGCCACGCCCTCCAACAGGGCCGGGTCTCTTCCCTATTCCCAAGAATGTCGAGGATGTAGAAGATGATGCTGCTGCTGTACTATAATTGGCGGCAGTGTTAGTGCCTGCACCACTGGAGCTAAAAGATGTGCTCTTTCCTCCGATATGCAATTTGGCAACGGGAGGTACTGGGTTTCCGCTATTTACCGCTTTCGAAGAGGGCCTTTTCATTGGAAGAAAGCGATCAAGAGTGGCAAGTGGTCCTTTTCCAGACGACGAGCTAGCTTTACTCTGTTGTACCTCCCCGCCTAAGGTGGAAACTGTCTTCGCTACTTGATGAGGTACGGCGGGTGCAGTCCCTGCAGCTACCTCACTTTGTGCAAGTCCAACGACATGAGCAGATTGTTGATGTTGTTGTTGCATACCACCTTCATCTCTAATATTAGCATTATCTTTAGTGTTAGTTGATGCAGCTGGAAGTGCTTCAGCATCTTCTGAGTCCGAAAAATGGATCTCCATCGGTTCGGAAGGATTCCTGTCTCTGCCAACTCCACCACCCTTATCACTGAGCTTCCGTTTTTTTGCAGCTGGAGGTGAGCAGGACATTACAGATATACTTGAAGACTTTGACATATTTTCATGCTGAAGTAGTTGCTTTTCTTGAACAACTTGAGGCACGGCATGCAATACTGCAGAAGCAGCTGGTGTAGAGGTAGAGGCTTGCCCAGCAGCCATCTCAGTCGCGACTGGCCCTACTGCTGATGAGGACGCTGCAACAACAGGAAATCTACTCTCTCGCAGCGAGTTCTTGCGCGACGGTGATGGCGCAGCGCTAATGGACTTTTTCTTGTCAACCAAATTGACATCTTCGCCCCCCTCCACCTTCAGCGGAGCACCACCACCTATCGAGCTTGACGCTCCGGCACTCGCAGTCGCTCTTTTCATATGCATTCTGTTCAAAAGATCCTGTACTCCCGAGGAAGGCTTGTTGGCTGTAGATGCGGTAGACGTCCGATCTTCTCCAAGACCAGCTACGTGAAGTGGGCTCTGGGCGCTTCTTCTTCTCTTACTAGCGGCATCCACTGCCGCGTCGGTAGCCGCGTTTCCTGAGGACACACGGTGACCTACTCCACTAGCTGTCGAAGGTGCCTTAGTGTCACCACGGGGACGTTCCTGTTTTTGTTCTTCTGTACATTTACTGGTCGACACTCTCGATTGCTCCTGCTGAGCAGATCGACTAGCTGCAAATGTAGAAAAGATGTTATTCTGCACTCCACCACTCGTTGAAGCTGCGCCCGGTTGTGGTGCTTTTTGTCTCCCGTGTTTCGCTTGCTGATTCCGCTTACGTTCAACTGCAGCAGTCTGCTTCTCAAGTATTGCGTCGGCTTCGGCCGCTGACGGACCCAGATCGACCTCGGCTTCCTGCAAACCAACAATCTGAATCCCGCTAGACGATGACGTAGATGTTCGGGTTCGATTCCTCGTAGCAAAGGTTCCGGCAAAACCGGTTATACTCGCAGCTCCAGGCGCCTTTTGCTCTTTACCATGACTCGATGATGAAGAGGACGACGATGATGATGAGGACGAGGATAAGGATGGTGGGGCAACCTCCTCGATTGCTTGAGTCTTGCTCGGCACAGCTGAGGATAGAGGTAGTTCGTCCGCCTTTGACGCAACGGCAGCCGGCGCAGCAAATGCCGCTTTCATGTCTTCAACAGTATTTTTTGAATGATCTTTTGCCTTTGCACTACCAGCTACGTCGGTTTTCGACGGAAGCAATTTGGTCGACGTCGTAGCAGTTACACCAATAGTGGCGTTGCTCGTCGTGGAAATGTTACCTCCGGCACCAGTCGCTCGTGTCGGATCACTTTTTCTACTTCTTACGGATTCGTCTCCAGGAGGCACAATTTTGCGCTCTACAACGCCAAGCTTCTCAAGCAAAAAGCTTTTCCCACATCCGCCACTTGAGGAGCCCGCGCGTACATAGCTGCGTACCTCGTTCACACCATGGTCAATCTGGTCGCGGGCTTTTTTCTCATACTGCTCCACTATTTTTCTGAGCGCAGCTAGCTGCGAGCCGAGAGGGGGCGCAGAAGCCATGTTTTCGTTCGGATTATTGCCGATGCCGCGTCCGTCGAAGCTGTTGTGTCGAAATGAAAAAAGTACTACGAAATATTTCGACGTTCATGAAGTCGACATCATGTTCATGGCAGCCTCAAGTCTGGCCTAGACATTTATCATGCAAATAAAAGTCGCGGTGAGGACGATATCTTCAGAACTAAAAACGGCCAGATTGAGGACGAGAGTCCAGGTGCTGCCAATCAGAGCGAGAGTTTATTTTGCTAGCGGGTTAGCCATCCAGACTAGCCCACTAGCGGCATCGAATCGCACGAAGATGAATATCAAATGACCATTTGAGATAGAATCTGAAGGAAGATAGGCTGTGCGTTCGACGCCGCTAGGGGCGAGTGTGAATGGATTACCAGAAAGAAGGGAGGGAGGGAGTGGAAAAAGAGAAATGAGAAAGATGATTCGATTGTAAACCAAGAGTAGAGAGAGAAAAGATTCGATAGCGATCGCTGAGATTCGATTAAGAACGATTTGATTAGATTCGATTCGTGTACGAATGTACACGCTGCGTGTAGGATGCGCAGCCCCCAAGATCATGAGTAAGTGAAGGAACGACACCGATGCCAGCAAATAAAACTCTCGCCTAAATTAGTTATAGCGAACACCTGCGCTGTTCTAGCATAACTGAAAATAAAAGGACCCGGCGGTCTGCAGATGCGCCGATAAGAGAGAAGAATGAAAAATGGATCTCAGGATTTCACGAAAAAAAAATGGATTGTCTAGCAGATACAACTTTTGTTTTTTCCATTTACCCATCAAAGTTTTTCTGACCTGCACTACAGGACTTGAACCCAGCGAACCGCGGGTCTTAAAAGGGGAAAAACCCAGAACACCATTCGGTAAGAGGATGATATTCCATAGATACCAGTCGAAACCACAAAACAGAATCCACACATTCAATCGTGACCCACAGCCAAACTTCTGCTCAGAGCAGCAGGGATAAGCTCGAAACTCGAACGCTTCAGCCTTTGAATCAACACCAGAAAGGTGCAGCTACTAGATTGAAAAAATATTTGGTCTATTCTTGGTGAGGGAGAATATCGCTACATCACAGTTGAGTTTTGCGTGGAGTCACATATGTGTCAAAGCGAAGAGAAAGAAGAACAACTACAGCTAGAAACTACTACTGTTAGTACTTGTACTTCTTGGGAAATTTTATTGTTATAGGATGAATATTGATTTTTGAAAGTAGAAAGAATACACAGGAGGCATTTCTAGCACTTTTTCAATGGGATTGTGATTGGGAATGAATCATATCAAGAATATTAGATAGAGTCATTTAAGAGGAAATCTGTCAAAAATTCAGAGTAGCACAACTAAGTATAACGAGGCATCCTCCTAACAATCATAGGTACAACTGTAATTTCACTTTGTAGAGGTTTCGAGTAAAGACCATTATTTAGGCATAGACATCAAGGAAGGAAAGTAATCCAAGGAGGAAGGCGGGTGAAGCAGCCAAACAACAAGATCTAGATCGCCATGGAGGAAACCTTCGTCGGAAGCTCCTTTTCCTGTTCCTGAAAAAGTGGCGAACATAACACGCAATGAAAATAGGCCACACGAGAACGACGACGACGACGACGATGAGCATCTAGTGCTCAACGAGGAGAAGAAGAACGAGTGCAGCGATTTTCATAAACTTAGGTACAACGAAGAAGCCACCTCCTCCTAGCAAGAGTGTGACCGACAACTCCCGGACACCAATCACAGCTGCGATAGAACCACGGATCGCTCTTATTATTTTCCGCTCGCCGTCAGCATTACCTATGCTACAATGTAGATGAGTTTGGGTTGCATGATGAATAAAGATATTCGTAATCATATTGTCCAAATAGAACACATACACAAACACAATGAGATAATAGTTATCGAAAAAAGTATGACTCGTGATCATCCTTCCTGTAGATGTACTAGTTCCACTTTTATGACTGTAGAGATCAAACAGTGACTTTTCTCAGGGCGAAAGACAAAGACGCACGACCTGTAGGATGCTAGAAGCCCCGTCGTAGCTGGCGATGGAAGGAGTACGATGGCCCCATGAGCAAGGATTCGTTCTTGCTCAAGGAGCCAAACGTGGTGGTCCCTCTGCGTAAGTAACGTTCTACCCAGATTTTCAGAGGAAGGCCAGCACATGCTATTGTACTTGAAAATCAATTATTCAACTAAAACTTTCCTTCATGGCTCATAAACACGAATGTTCTGGAATTTTGTACTATAAGTAAAAGTTCATGATCATAGATATGGTGCTGGCGTTTTCAGTACCCATTCGAAATCAAAACGAATCTGTCATTGCATACATATCAGAGCCACACATTACATCAAATAGTGACTCGGATTCAGGCGCCTCTCCATGCCCGGGAGCCTGGTCATGGATCTCTAAGATGAAAAGGGTCTATAGGACTTCTTGCAGATCTAGTCCTTCTACTTCTTCTCGACGAACTCGATTCATTCATATTTATTACTTAGAAGATACCGGACGACAATAAATNCCCGTTCCGATGGAAGTGGCGGCATCGCCGTGCACAACTACACACAAAGAACTCGGGAGCGACCGAGTGAAGTGACCACCAAAAGTGAGAACCTCTTCACGCCACAAGAAGCACCTGTTTCCGTTGTAAAACAGGGGCGCGGCCGGGTTGCTCGCAAGAGTCGCCCGCCACCAACAGATCTCGGCGATGCACTCCTTCGTAAGTACCACAGAAGGGATGAAACGATTGTTCTTCTGCCACTGCCTGGGAGCATCGGCTGCCATTATCACAGATTGCATGGCACACAGTGGTCCTCGATTGACTACAAAGGAGCAAGAACCACATTTGCCCTTGACAGAAGCGAGATCTTTGACACGGCAACGCCCATATTGCTCGTAGTCTGCGAGGAAAGAATCAATAAACTCGATGTAGTCGATTCTGCGTCGCTCTTCAATGAGAATTCGCATGCCAACAGTGTCGCATTCAAAGCCTAGCCACGGGAAATGCTGCGAAGCAGGAATCCTCTTGCCCACTTTATCGTGCAACTTGCAACCCAGCGCAGTCATCAAATAAAATTGTCGCCCCAAATCAATGTCAGTCAGCTCACGAGAAAGACAGTCGTCGCCTGGAAGGACGGAACGAATGTCATCAACATAATCGAACATCCTCGATTTGACGCCCGAATTGGAGCAGACGCGAATGATTTCCTTGACACTTGCGTCGTTTTCGCCCGGCGCCGGGGCAATGCCAAACGGCAGGAATAAGTGCGTTGCTTTCGCAGGAACCGAGGGTAGGTCAAGACCAAAAAATCTTCTATGGGAAGGACTGATCATCCAATGCGGAAAACAATCTTTGAGGTCGATGCCTGAAACAAAGCAGTTTGGCTTCAAAAAACGGAAGAGATCCCACCAAGAAGAATACTCGACCGGCGAGGAAAATAACGACTGATTGAGAAAGCAAGACGACGCGCTCCAGTCGCTGATAAGCCGCACCTTCGTCCCGCCTCTTTGCAAGAGGATGGACGCAGGGGCAATCAAAAGGTTGCCGGGAGGGGGAATATTCTTGGAAGCTGGGAGAAGAGATGAATCGCAAATCATGACTTTCTTCATGTCGACCAAACGCATTACTTCGTTGACAAAAACTTTTTCATGCAAAACAGTACTGTAGTAATTCTCTGTCTGAGTGATAGCAAAATCGTCATCGACAACGTCGAACTTAATTCCACCAAACCAGCGTCTGATAAAATCAGGGGAGATGCCCCAACGTATGCATTCTTCGATAGATAAAGATAAGCCGTCAACTGTGCGACTGTCCTCCAGAAGGCGCCAATCATCCCGAGGTCCATCTTGTTTGTGTAGAAACTGCAAAATTTCGTTGTGAGTCGTAGGTAAACCAGCACTGATGTAATCGTTGATATGGAAATTCGAGCACGGCTCGAGGCCGAGGCTCGCTTCAGAAACCGGACCAAATTGAGAGTCCACCATGTCGCAAAATCGTATGATGTCTAGGCAATCTTACACCTTACCGGTGCGCACGATCGAATACATGCTGCCAAAAATCGCGCGATCAGCAGTGCCACGAGTTATATCAGCCGAAATCGACGGAGCTGCCGCCGAAAGATCAGCAGAGGAAACAAACTCAAAATCCAACTTTGACACCCATGCGGCCATTTTTAAACCATCAATGCCGTCTTTGTTGCAATAGTACTTTTCTAACAGCTCGATAGATTTGATAGTGTTGAGAGAAAAGGAGGCGCGATTTACAATGACGTTGATACGACTAGCCACCTCTTGAATGGTGGGGGGAGCATAAACATCATCCAACATATTTGCGTTCCTCCAACCGCCTTGAAAGAACGCCAATTTGCGCGAAGAGTCCCATTTCGAATAGAAAATGGCGCCTGCTTTTCGCAGGGAAATTCCTCCAACAGTAGAAATTGGCTTCAGGTGCCCAATGGCGTCACTTACTGCCTTGCGGATGAAATCCTTGCCAAAAGGGAGTCCACGGGTTGGAATGTTGTTTAAGCCAATCGCGTAGAAAAATGGTTCGGCGGAATTGCACCATGCTTTTTTCATGTAGTATTGGAAGAAGTTGTTGGAGAACCGGAACCACATCCGCAGCAGTTCTTGAAATGCTGCAGGGATAGCGGCTTTATGCCCAGAGGCGAACTTATCATTCTTAGCCGAAGCGACGTAGATGTACAAGATTCCCCCTGAGCCGAACAAATTATTCGCCTTCAAACGCCTCAGCTCGTCGTTGCGACGTACACCGAAAAATCCCAAAACTAGGATTACAGCACGTTGAAGGATGATAGAAGCAGAAAGAAACAACTTGCTGCAAAGCGCCGCCACAGGGAGCGCAATGTTCAGCGCAATACCGTCCTGGGGCATCTTACCTAACTCGGATTTCCACCCAGCGAGGGCGTCGGACGCGAATTGCACTATGTCTCGGAAAACAGGAGTGAATTTTCTTGCGGTGGGGCAGTGGTAGGCCGCTTTTTTGAACCCCATCCAATGCCGTTTGAAACGCAAACCTTTGTCAGCAAGCGTGTATGAGATGTTGCGCGCACTATTGAAGGCGCCGATGGCAGAAGCGATTAACTCATATGTGTTCCATCTGATAGCTCGGCTTCCATCACCAATCGCGTCGATGAACTCGTACGATGCATGGCAGGAGTGCGATTTCGTGAACACGGTGAAAAATAACAGAGCTTCATCGTCGCAGGTGATTGGCCAAAGCGCAAACTGTAACACGGAGCAGATTAACGGAACAATTTTGTTCAAGATGGACTGATAAGTTTTCGCCGAGTTCTCGGCGAGTGAGACTGTCACGTCCTCGCGCGCGGCGTTGATGAGAGTTGTTTTCAAACTGGCCTCGATAGGGAACTGGTTGAATAACGCCTCATCTTTCTTGAAGATTTCCAGATCGAGGGACTCGTTGTTGTCGGATCCGAACTTGAATGGCTTGTACGCCGCGCTGCCGTTGTCGCATTTCCTGCTAGAGAACTCCTTGTGGATAGCACAAAGCTCCGAGACCGAAAGTTTGAGCTCGGCGAGTTCCTTTGCGAACGACTCTGCTGAAGCAACAATGACAAACTCATCTCTGTCTTCGACAGCAGACACGAATTCCGGAGATGACGCTCCTAGCAACTCGTTACTCAGGAGGTCGGGCACGATCGTTCCCATACTACTAGACGAAGACTTCGTGTTTGACGCTTTGTTACCTAGTTCAGCTTCGATTTCGTCGGCAACGACGTTGTCGAACGGGTTGTTGGACGTTGCTAGATTAACATCGACGCTGTTGATGCCGAGGACATCATCCACGGGTGTGACATTGGAGACACTACTGGTCTTCGCGCGAGTTGCCTCGTCCCTGGCGTGAAGGAAAGGATTCGCCGCCCGAGTGGCGTTACGGATGGGTTCGGATTGTAGCACACGTTGCAGCTTGAAGAAACTCATTTTGGACAATTTGTCTCTATTATCGAGTGAGTAACGTATACTACGTGCAATTGTAGATTTTCTAGCATCCAGCCGCTCGATTTTGAAACGTTTTTGTCTTCGCATACACTCACGCTCAAGCAACACTCGACTCCATACGATCCCACCTTGTTCGGTGACGATTGTTCAACACGTCCGCCTTACTCAATAGACTGACACCTTGGTGAAACAGGTTCAAACCGTTATAGTAACTTGTTAGCACAATTCGCTTTGTATTGGTGGATTGTCGTGTTGCTTGCTCATGCTGGGTACAGATCTAGAGCGAGAATTGCCATGCAGGGGAGAGCTGTGATCAAAATAGGATTGCTGATGCTTTCGAGGGTTTTGATATTGGTTCGCATATTGCGTAGTGATCAGGCGACTGCTGGTGATTTCGCATCGGGTCATACAGTACTTGGGTTTGAATGAGAGGAGTGCACCAGATTAACAAACTATAATTCTGCGTGGTTGCACATGAGAAGCGATGGGTTCTAGTAATGTTACAGCTTCAACATCGTGTTGCAACAACGACCGTTAGAATTTGCCCTTTCCGTTCCCTTTGTTCTTGCCTTTGCTGTCTGTTCCCTTGCTTTGGAACTCAGCAATGACACGAGGATCGTCCTTATGCGGGCAGGCGGATTGCCAATGATAAGCCATTTTGCCGAAGTGGTTGTAGCACACTCGACACGAGATGGAACAAGAGTTGCCTGCACGTTCACAATTGCCGAAACCGTAGTCGTGATTCATGTTACAGCCGGAGCCGTTGAGGAAGCAGTTACGACACAAGTGATTCTTGGTGAAAAATGCGTAGGTCTCGGTGGTATTGACGGTTAAAGCGTTGTTGAAAGCTGCCATTGCGGCTTCCTTTGTGGCTGCGGCACCACGAAGGATGTCGGCAATGCGTTCGGAAGCTGATTTGGAGTTGTAGTTTGAGCCTCCATGATTGTTGTTGTTGCCGCTTCCGCCGCCCCCTGCACCACCAGACGAGTTGCGAGCCTCGAGGCGCTGACGTTTGTTCGAACCACCCCAGCTGCTCTGACTCGCTGGATACGAAGGTAGCGAGGCATCAGCAGCAGAGTTGAAGCCGGCCGGTGCACTTTGCCGCTTTTGAGCGTTCGTACGCGCCAAAGCAAGTTCGTCTTGCGAGATTTCAGCCATCAACGCTTTGAGTACACCCCTGGATTGCATGTTGCGACAGGCAACAGACGTAACGTGAGGCAAGTATACCAGATTGTAAAATCCTTGGCGAGTTTGATCCATGCGACCGCGAAGTTTGATTTGCTTGCCCCATTGCTTGAGCGAGAAGTAGACCAAGTAACACAGATTGGACGTGGACAGATCGAACGAGGAGGATTTGTTGCTGTTGTTTTTCTTGGTGGTTGATTGTTGCAGGGCGGTTAGATCAAGGTGGTACTTCACCAAAAACAGCGCATGGTTGGCGAGTGTCGAAACTGGTTCTCCAGGAAAGAACGAAATCAATCGATTGAGGTGGTTGCTGCAGTGAAGGAGACTGCCTCCTGCGGATGGTAGCAGCAACTTGCTCCATTTATGATGCTCATTTCCCTTTACGCGAAGTTGATCGGCCGCTTTCTTGAGTGCGCCGCTGTCACCCCCAGAGTTGGTGTGCATCATCAAAATTTCCTGTGAATATAACAGAAGTGTAACTCCGGGAAGAAATAGTAATTTAGTTGGATTTTAGAAGTTTGACCCATAATTCTGAGATTTGTTTTAGTGACTACCTGAGGTGACAGATGCGAAATTTTGTTTTGGTCGCTGACCGGCGGACGCTTCAGAACTTGATAGGCGGCGATCTTCTCAGCGTCGGACATGGCGATATAATCAGCAAACCAAGGAAATTCAGAAACGATGTCCGGGCCCATGGACATGTCACCACTTGCAGCCTGTGGCTCATGTGCACGGAGAGATTAACAGATTTTTGGATTGACCCTTAAATTTACGAAATTTCATGTAGATGCTGACTGCCTTGCATGGATAACGATTAGGTACCGCGAATGCGCTCTCGATGTCCTTCATCCGAGCGGCTTGCTTCTGGTTGTTGCAGCTGACGCAGATGATTCGCGAAGGATCATTAGCAGTCATTGAATGGAAGAGATTATTGGCCAGAGGTCCCTGAGTCTTCTTGCATCCCAAGCAGACTCCTTTGCTGCAGCGTTTGTGTGCGCCTCCGGCTGCAGCTGGTGCTTTGACATTGCCACAAACTGCATGTAGATTCGCAACGGGGTGATCAACGTCGCACTGCATGCAAGTGAAATTCGTCAGGGCTGGAGGCTCTTCGAGAGCGACCACACCGCCCAGTTCGTTCATGTTTTGACACTTGGGGAAATAAGAAAAGATTTCGCTCAAGTTCGATTTGGCAATTTGATCTAGATCAGGTTCAGCACCATCAGATTGATTGGAAACAATGGGTTCATGTTCGAGGGACGAGTCATTCCAATTGTCGTCAAACCACTTATCCCATTCGTCACATGTATAATGATGATGACTCTCGTCGGTTGTGGATGAAGCCCCAGGACTGTCCTCGAGGCTCTTGTTGATTTCAGCTAGGGTTTTCGACATCTTGAAATGTTTTGAGTCGAGTTTTACGCTATCACTTGCCTGTGTTAATGGGTTGAGAAGGTTCATGATGTGAGAAATTTTGTGTTGTGAGTTCTATGTGCATATACAAACTTGCTTGTTAACGTTGAGTAATTTTAAATTTTATGTCTGGCTTCGATGCATTGAAGTTTCAAAAAAGACAGAAGTTGGGTGCGTCAGAGAGTTGGCGACGCTTGATGTTGATGGTGATAGTAACAACAAAAACAAAAACCTATTGCATGGAAACTGTGTTCATCGCTTGTTCGTGATCGTTTATGTTGTGAGATCGCCACCGTCGCAGTATGGTTTTCCAAATTTAGTCACTGAGTGATTTATTGGTTGTGGTTCAATTCATGGGAATTAGCTCTAATTCTGGCTCAAGGAGGTTGAGTTCGACGCTTTGTTGCTGATGATGTCTCCTTCGGCCGTGGCACGATTGTTGGTGGATAGGTGAGCGCCGAGGTCCCGAGTTTCATTGACGAAATCGGATACCACAAACTTCAACTCACTGTCAGCTACACGACTCGTCAAAATCATAGTGCGCGCTTCTTTCATTGAAGCCCGAATGCACTCAATCGCTGTGGTACTCCACGTGCTTTCCGTGAAAAGAGCGCCCGGGAAAAAGGCACTTGCCGAGTTCCACCGAACGAATTCAGTGTTACGTTTGCTACCCACAGCCGTTGAGTATGCTAAGCTTAGAATCACCTGAGTGATGTGATTGTGGAATAATGATTGATTAAATTAGATGTTGGATGAAGCAATCACTTTTAGTTCTTCCGTTACTTGATAAAAGGCAAAGGATTGATGATTGTCGCTGATGTTTGAGTTTACCTTGGACACGGAATGCCGCGGGAGGTCACCGCAGACCAGCGTTGTCACTGACAGAAGACGCAGGGTTTGATTGAATTCGTTCCATTGGCAATACGAAAGGATTGTGCAAATGGCTGCGGCGTAGTGCGGGTATGCTGTGGATAGCAACACAACGTTGTGGAGCAGCTGGCTGTTGACCAGTTTGGCTAGTTGTTCGTTGATTGGAAAGGCATCGAGTGTTTTGGATATTTTCCCCAGAGCAGATGTCTTGGCTGCGCAGAAACTGCCTTGAATGGTACCGGACCATTCAATTTTCTTGGCTTGCGCGAGGCCGCAAATGTCCTTTAGAAGTTTTTTGATTGAATGTGATAGTTTCGCCGATTGGCAATGATGACTTGGTTTGATGTTCAGTTTGATCATTAGTTTTCTTCAATTTAGTTTTGAGTGACTCCAAAGGGACATTAGTTAAGCTTACAATCATCTCCTGCGGTGAGAAGCCACTGATGGTTAACGTGTTATGACTCGGCACATTACAGCATGATCGAATGAGCGAATTTGATTCAGCACTTGCCGTTAACGCACAAAATTTGCAGACTCGTTCCAAAGGGCGAGGAGCGCTTTGATCGTCCGAAGTCTCAGTGGAGCTGCTGGCGTTATGCCCAGTGTTCGTCTTGATGAAAGGTGAGAAAGACTTTGCGATTGAAGCCTTCTCAGCTCTGAACTCGTTGGAGGCGGATGAGTCATTGGGAGCAATAGAGTTGTCCTTCATGAGCTTGTTAACCAATTCGGCTATGGTTACTGGGATGTAATGTTTGTCGAAGACTGCACTGGACCACAGTTTCTCGCTTTTTACTTTTTCGCTGAGAAGTTCTAAGATGTCACAGTCGTTTTTGAGCCCTTTTGGGCATTCGATGTTGAAGAAGTGGCAGGTAGTGTTGCCCGATGTGTCGCGCACCCAACCGCGACAGGAGAAATCGGCGCCTTCAGTGCAGGTTGCACGAATTGAGTTGACGAAGAAGGTTGCTCCGTCCATTGTTGGGTTCTCGTGCGAATGAAATAGGATCTTGTATTCGAAATTGAGGTTGATGAAGTTGACGTCGGATGTATTTGGAGTTGTTTTGTGAATCACGCGCGTCTCGTTGCGTAAGTAGATTTTATGTTTGGAGTTTACGTCGTCGACGATATGCCTATTTACATCCGCGAGAGAAATGTCTGTCCAGTGGAATTTTAAAAAACCAGCGACGTTAGTTGATTTTCTCCAACAACTTGTCTCAATCACTGCTTGATACATGATGGCTGTCGGGGAAAAGGTTAGATGGTTGAGTTGATGCACAATAATCATTGGAGACGAGTTGATGATGGCGGTAGTGCAGTCGACTTTTCGTCGTTTTGGTTGACTTGATCATCACTGTTGCAGTTGTTTTGGTCGAAATTGGATGGGAAGACGTCATATTTTCCGTCGGAACGGGCGCGGCAGAGGAATTCAAGATCTAACCTGCCCGCGCCGTCTTGGAAGTCAAAGGTCGAGTTCTGAGAAATTGGTAGATTGCTGGGAGAGCATCCTAACTTTGTTTCAATGTCGCAGAAGATGGCGAATAGCACATCGTTGGTGGATGAATTCGGAACTACTACGCATCCTGAGATCTCCCTTTTCCAGATGGAATTGTCAATTAATGCTTCGATGGATCCGGCGTACCGAGTGAATGAACAGGCTCGACGCGAGAGGTCGGCGAAGATGACATGGGCGTCAACTGGGTGCTGGTTAGAAGGCGCGGCGTTGGACATTTTGTTGTATTGAGTACAGGTGTTTTGAGCCAGCTGATGAATAATCATATGCTTCATGTTTTCGTGGACATTTGTTGTTAAATGAGTATGCGGCATTACGATCAGAGGTAGCTTTTTGGCTTTTCTCCATTTTGATCACCGTTTGAGACAGATTGTTTCGAAAAGATTCGACTCCAGAAAAAAGAGAAATGAGAAAGATGATTCGATTGTAAACCAAGAGTAGAGAGAGAAAAGATTCGATAGCGATCGCTGAGATTCGATTAAGAACGATTTGATTAGATTCGATTCGTGTACGAATGTACACGCTGCGTGTAGGATGCGCAGCCCCCAAGATCATGAGTAAGTGAAGGAACGACACCGATGCCAGCAAATAAAACTCTCGCCTAAATTAGTTATAGCGAACACCTGCGCTGTTCTAGCATAACTGAAATTATTCAACAAAAATAAGAACACGATGGACGAAAACAAATACAACATGAGCGCTTCCCTTTTGCTGTCGTACAATGACGTGCCCGAGGGTGGACCAGCACCATCTGCACAGGTGTCGGGAAATAACCCCATGTCGATATCCCCATCGACTCCCTGCGGTCTTGGGTTCTGGTACAGGAGTGGCGCGATCTCTTCTCCTAGCCTTAGTAGATTACGCGTACAAGCAGCCGTGTAATGGACAACAAGGGATATCGGCAGCGCGCTCGGAGTACGCGGCGGCCCTTTCTTCACGTCTATTGTTGTCAGAAGCACCTGATCATGCTAGGAACAAATTGTACGACGATTAAGTTTCTTGGTGATCATTATCATTCTGATATGATCTATCATCTTCACCGTGAACGTTGTTGAATGTATGACTAGCATGTTTTTTTGCCCCTGCTGTATTGACAAAATACCTTGCACTTTTCGTCAGATTCCCATCGCTTGGTCATCGGCTCAATTTCAGTGCCCTGCATGCCAGGGTAAATATACGCCAGTCTAGGCGCGGACGCAGAGTCCACAGCCTCTTCCCCAGCGATGATTTGTGTTGGTGCCGCAGAGCCTGCCTTTTTCAGGCCCAAAGATACGTTGCTCGTATCATTGACGAGGCCTGACCGCATATCATTCACCACGAAGCCGTTCTCGTTGAAGTAACGCGATAGCGCTTTGAGCTGCTGCGAATTCTCGGTGAAAACGAGAGCCCGCCGCCTCTCTGGCAAGCGTTGCACGGCTTGGAGCAACAGGCGGCGGCGGACACTATCTATCTCTTGCTCGGGTTTTGATAACGACAAAAGCGCGAAGGCTGACGCGCTATCTCCTGATCGCCTAGCCAGTGCATCGGACGTGGAACGTGGTGTCCCCGCACTTTCATCCTCTCCCGTTGTACTCGCCATCTCCTTGACAAGGGCGCTATTGACTACGACCACCTTCATTTCAAGTGCAGACAAGGCGTCGGCATGCGGAGTAAGGTCAAATTTTAGGCATCGTGAAGCATGCAGCTTCAGAATTTTCGCGACGTCCGCCTTGACTTGTTGCGAGGCCGCGGACGCAGACATCGAAGCAACGATCGGCACCGAGGGACCGAACAGCGCGCGCAAGTCCGCGACAGGTTGCATGTCTTCGCGATACGTTGAGCTGAACTTGGAAAGGCAATGTGCCTCCTCGACAACAAGGTACCCGCCACGCCGTTCGAGAGCCCTGCGGAGTACGCGGACTAGTGGGCTCTTACGCACATTTGCGCCAAGCAGTAGCCCCGGGCTAACAAAGAGCACGCTAATTTTGTCAGCTCCCAGGCCTTCGCCGTCTTCGTCCTTATCCGACAACACTTGTTCTTCTTCGGCGCTGCTCTTGTGATTAGAAGCGAGAAAAGTAGGAGAGCAGGCACGTGTAATATTGACGTTGATGCTCTCGAGCTTCAGCAGTAACACAGAGACCATGTTGAAATGAAATCTTCTTCTTGTATTCACACTCTACATGTCCACCGTATTGTACGTAACTATGTTATGATCCTCACACGCCCGCCGTCTCTTGTTCAGAAGATGTGTGCCAGTTTCGCCAACGATTTGGACGCTCGCCTGAGAGTTCTCGAATGGCTGAGGCGGCGAAGCGACAGGCAGCGTGCCCAAGTCAAACGAGAGCGAATCTGCTTCGTCAAACGAAGAAGGGACATTGAACGCTATGCCACCGCTATCCCGTTTAATCACTGCCCGAGCAGCGGCTTCGCGGACTTTGTCATTCTTGACCCATCGCTTTTCCACGGACGCTTTATGCCGCTTCAATCGAGCCAATAGCGAGTCTTGCTGATCGCTACTTTTTGAAGTCTCTTGCTCCAAACTCATGTTCGTTTGGCTTTGCTGCAACCTACTGCCAGCTCCCGCTTTCATCGAGTTCCCCTTACATGCTTTATTCATGTTCTTACCGCCGACACCTCGTTTGGACACAGACGCACCACCCTTTGTTGATGTTCCTGTCGTGGTCTTGCCGGCCAACTTGCTAGATGTCGCCCCGTCCTGTGTCTCTCCGTTTAACAAAGCTTTTTTCTTCGGAGAGGACGCGTTCTTATCTGGAGGTATCGAATCTACGACCTCTTTTAGGACAGGATCGGTTTCTAATAGAGGACCCGTCGCCCTTTGCTTCAGTATGCCGTACTTTACCCCCGCTCTTCGCAAACGAGCGACCTTCTCGTGGTTGTCCGAGCTCGTGCGCGTGGAAAAAACAACAGCAAGTTCCTTTGTCACGAAGGCAGGCAGTGTGTACGCTGTACTTTTCCCTAACAGACCGGACAGTACAATGTCCGGTCGAGGAGAAGTAATGGCGGAGGTAGTCGTCGGTGAAAGGGCTGAACTCGTCTTCGGCTCTTGCTTTGGAAGAAGTGCCTCCACTTTATGAAGGATGTAGTTTTTTTCCATCTTCTTCGACTAGTGTTCTGGCTCTGAAAATTTGTTTAACACCATAAACGAGGATACGGACATAGTTTAAACGAGAAATCGAGAACATGCAGACAGCCCGGATCCACGTCCACCTAGAAGTCTAGAAGCATCATTTTCAACAGAAGCAAGCATGGAATCAATCAGGAAAACAACTAGATCCTTCACCATACATTGCTTTTTGTTGCGCGGGGCACAAAAACGTTGGAAAATCGAAGAGCACTTGCAACATCGGCCAAACTTGATCTGCCTTTGTCGAGAAGTCATCATCGGGGACGAGCCCCTCTAAATCCTCCGCAGTGCAGCAGGGACTTTTTAGAGCTTGGTCTTGGTAAACAAACTTTTAGTGCGCAATAGTGATTCAGTTTTAGATGCTTAGAAAAATTAGGACGCAGCTCCCAGGAAACATTCAGTGATTTCCTTTGATGTGGACATTAAGGATCACACGCAGTAGAGACCTAAATCATCCCCGAAACGGTCGATATCGTTATCGTGTCCCTGAGCCTCGACACCGTTCGCGTCTCTATTCCGACCACTGCTATCTCCACCCTGCTCCGCTGCTCTGCGACGTTTGAACTCATTATCTTCCTCGCAGAGCGCTTCCCACCGTGACCACTGTGGCTTCAGTATTTTTTCGTAGTGGCACTGATGAGAAATCGGAGGATGCCTGACGCCCGACGACAAGTGAAACCTAAAGCATGCATATATGTAGTGTGCGTCCGTCAAGAAAAAATCTTCCTAGACGGCCCTTTGTAGATGCAAACCCTGCGCAATTCATAATTCGAACTTACAGTTACACTGATGTACGTGTACCTACTAAGTCAAGAAAGGATTGCGTCCTATTTTTGATGAAGAAGAGGCAGCTGCAGTAAGACACTAGGAAACCACAAGATGAAGAATTCCTTTTACAACAACATACCCTTTCCAAGTTTCCAAGGTTGACCGTGCGCTTTCGGGAATCGTCTGCGCATATCGTACCAACTCGAGCGACTCCTTGTGATCATATCGGCGCACTTCCTTCTTCACCTCCACATGGCTGCCGTCCTTATGCGGTCGAAGAACAGCTCGTGTGTGGCCAGGGACCTGCAGAGAGCTGGAAAAAGCTTTCTCCATTTTCTTTTACGTTATTGATTCGCGTGCTTTGTTTATTAGTCTAGAAAACAATTCTTCGACGTAGGCAGTCCATAAAAATAAGGGAGGCGGACAACGGTCTTGTTAATTTAAGTGCGCGTGCACTCAACAAACTAACCTATTCGATGGGGCTGTTCTTCGTTTTGCCTTCTTTTATGATGTTGACTCACACTTACAGTTTGCGACCTAGATATTATTGGTGATCATGATGCTCTTTTGCCAATTTGCGGTGGTGAACATGTGCACAGTGACGGGGTGGGCCATCATCGTTCTTCATCTGTAACTCCATAGACGTTTCCAGAGCTGTGTTTCTGCCCTGGTCTCCAAGTCAGTTCTTCGCCACTCATTTGTTGAAGCAGAACACCTACACGCAGGCAGCGTATTGGCATGACTACGAACCCGCTGCTCTCTGACACGCAAGGAGGCGCATCAAGAAGCCTTGAATGACTCCATCCATAGAGACGTTTATATTCTCACTAAAACTTCCGCCCACAATAAGCTCTGCTACGGCAACGCGCCGCCGTACTTTTGGTCGCAACTCCGTGTTTATGACATTTCTGAACTCTGTCTTCCGGGGATTCTCAAACATTGGGAAAGATTATGCCAAGAAAAGGTACTTACAATAACACTCGATATAAACCTCAGCCACGAAGAATATACGAACCCGGCTGTATTTGCTCAGCAAACACTAACTAGCTTCTGCGTTCAAAGAGGTCCAAATCTTATATGATGTGTGGTATGCTCATGTGATCGGATGTACTATTGCTGCTTGTTCATGTAGTTTGAAAGAAATACAAGTTGTTGGAAGAATGTTTCTGACGGTGGACCTTCCATGATATGTCGCGGCAAATATGGGCATTTAGGTGATGGAGTAGAACGAAAGGTCGCGGAGGCCCCACGAACAACTACAAGAAAGTATTCATCATGGTCATGAAATCTGACGGTTTTTACGCGTCTACAAATAGAGACATCCAAAAAGATGATAATCCCCCAGGTCTCGTAGATCGTGTCTTTCTTCGGATCAAAACTACTGCTTCTACTATGCCCAATCCAGTATATCGTATCTTCATGTTATTTCTTCGCACTCGAGATTAAATCCAGTAGTGTGAGGAACAACTCGACGATATCAATGTAGAGCTGCACTGCTGCGATGTATGCGTCGTCGAGAGAGAATTGATGGCGCCTGTGCTTCCCGCCCACGATCATCTGAAAGTCCCAGACGAGGTAGAAGCAGAGTAGACAGAGCACGATTGAATTCACGATGACTAGCGTCGTGTTGTAATAGCGTCCAGGCCCAATGACCATCAAGATTAGAGTCTAGAGGAGTGTGGATCTTAAAAAGGCGAAAAAACAAAATTATTTAACCTTCAACTTGCGACTGCACGACACGGACACGATATCGATAACGATAATGACACGACTGACATGCTCAGAAAATTTTCGCTCACAATCAATTACTCTACATCAATTGATTGATATTTATACTTTTCAAAAACGAGTATCATACACTTTCCAAAATAAAGTTTCATACTACTTACCGGAAGACCAGATACTCAATCAACTGTCCATAAGAGTGGCAAAAACGCGAGTACGATTAGCATGATGACAAGCTTTCCACAAAGCCACACCCAGAAGCGACATCCTGTAACGTCTACGGAAAGGTACCTCGCCACAAACCACAGGCTTACAACGATGAGCCCCGTCCCTGCGACAGCACTCGAAACGTCACTGGTCGGAGTGAAAAACACTGCGACGTTCACTACGAAGCCCGATGATGAAAGGGGAGGTTCGAACTAGCGAAGCGGATGATCACGATCAGTCAAACTGGTGAAGGTAGATTAGCTTGCTGCGTCTCCAGCCGTCTCTCTCAATAAACTCAATGACCTTGGTAAGAGAGTTCAAGATGCACTAGCATGGGCCACTACTGAGGGGGCATCAATACCACAAACTGTTTTCCCGGCACAGGAGGTGTATCTTCCTTGTGCCATAAGTACATAATGCCGAGTGTGGCTGTGAGAATCTTATTCGCTGGCGATGAGCGGAGAACGTTTCGGAAACAGCACATTACGAAAATCAGCATGAAGATTGAGTAAATGCCTCCGATAATGCCCAATATCGCCACAACACATTTAGCTTTCCAGTAGGCGTCCTCCATCTCCCTGATGAATTTGGCAAGAAAATGCCAAGTACAATAGTCTCAACAAACTCATTTGTTGATAGATTACCTCCGAAACTAGTTCTTTCTTGGCAAGAACCAGGAAGAACATTCTTTCGGTCAACTACAGCTACGACCGATAGGGTTAGGTATCGGTAACTGGGCATGTGGGCAGATAGGGATAGGATTAGGAGCTGCAGAATAAATAAACAGTTAATATAGATACCTGTACGTCTCGGTGTCAATCCGGTCTCTGAAATCAGCGGGAAGGAAAAAACTCTGCTGCCATCGGTCCAGTTGGTTACTGCTGGAACGGCTGATCTTGCTTAGAAGATGGAGGAACAAGTTTATGGATTCATTCTGTACCTCTCCTTTACTGAATTCCGTGGAGTTCATATTACTCCGCCTACATCGGCGTTTCTCAAACACATGGCACCATTTCGAATCTCGAATTTCTCAGTTCCATAACAAGTCAGGCGGCCCCTTTCTCGCAATCATGTACAGGATGATGCCCATCGCGATTTTGAACGCTGCGCACACGAGAAAGGTTAGACCCAACATGCCCGCGGTGATCCCTAAGACGTCCAAGGCAAACTTGCGCCGTACACTTTCTTCGGTGTTTTCACGGATGGTATACACGTTCAAGGTAAACTCTTTCTGATCATCTCGCCTGGTCGATCTATACTCCGGCATAGCTCGGTAAAGTTTGTCTCCTCCACGAGCTGCCTTGCCCATGGAAGCACCACAGCTGGCCTGCCTGGCCAGAGGCTGCTCGACATCTTCGCAGTCCGACTCGGACGACGACATTTTTTCAAAAAGTTGAGCGCCGTCTAACCGGCTCGAACTGGCACATTGTGGTTGCGAAGTTTCAAGGACCAAAAAGGTTTCAACCGCAGTCTATGTCTATCAGCAGTAAAAAATCGAAATAAGAGCTTTTCGGCAAACACACTGAATATATCCTACAATACACCGAGAAGTACGAGTACGTGTTGTTCATCTACCTACGATCATCACACCACTACTTTCTACTTTGCTATTTTTCGTGACTTCAGTTTGCGGATGCCAGCCATTTTTTTGAATGCGTTGTATCATCGCCTACTGTTTTCGAATCTGCGTTTTCGACAACTCCACATCTTCTACCGATTGTCCAAAATAATAACATGGTTGTCAGAACGCCGCACACATGAACACGACCTGATCCAGAGTAATGTGGAAGAAATCACTACAATGAATGTAGTTAACGTGCGCATAGAACTGGCTACAGTACAGAGGCACGGCCCACTCTTGGATTCATCGACGTCGACAGAACACGAATTCTAGATCTCACTCTGAGCCTGCATGCAAAGCAGGCTTCTCGAGGTTTTTGCTCTTCTGGGCCGTTACACATCTCCAGCATGAAACTCTTGTGTACACGGGTTCGCTTGTTGCTCCGGATGGTTGATAGAAGTGGGCAACAACCCGTTGAAAAACACGGACTTTGCAATACGTCGTGGACAATCATAATTCAAGTAGAACAACGAGACGAAGAACATCAACTTCCCATGGTCATTTCGAACTATTCCTTCCGTAACTTACTGCCAACGCCTCACGTGCTCTTGCAGCAGCTGTTGTTGTCTTCATCAACGCGCCCTGAGCTGATTCGTTTTCGCGAAGGTTGTTATACCACGTCTGGGCTGAGCGAAAGAATTTAATCGAAGAGATCGAATTCCATGTCATCCTCCTCTTCCTCAACCTTCTCTTCCTTCTTCTCCTCAGCGGCACCGCCGGCATCACCGCCAGCAGCAGCTCCGCCAGCAGCGGCACCACCGCCGCCGCCGCCACCACCGCCGCCACCGGCCTTGAGAATGGCACCGATGTCCTGTAATTTCGAAATATTTAGATTTTTTCACAAACAATTGAAATTCTCCAAATTCTAAAAGAAGACAGAGATACAATCGCGCCACTGGAGATGTAGTTGTATTCATTCTTAAACCTAAAATGCGATGGTATGCATGAAGCAGAACAAATTTAGAAAACTTCGCTTCTACATACTTAGCAAGATTAGGCCTATTTGTCCAATCAATCTGAGCAACGTCACGCTTATTCGAAATCGAAGTCTTTCCCGAGCACAGCTTTTTCTACATCTAAAGCGATTCAAAACATCTAAAGAGTACCTGGTTGGAGGCCATCTTGGCGAAGAGGGCCGGGAAGTAGGCCTCGCAAGAGCATCCAGCAGCCTTGATCAGAGTGTTCAGGGAGTCAGCAGTGATCTCGGCACCATCATCGTGGAGAATGAGGGCAGCGTAGGTGCACAGCAACTCACCCTTCTGCTCAGGGGTCAGCTGATCAACTGGAACGGCGGCCATTTTCTCTAGGTATCTGAGGTTCTTCTAGAGAAATTCAATCGAGCACAATATCTTGTCCCTGGATTTAGAAATATGCGAGATGAAATTCAGATATTGAGACCATAAAGATACGCGACTGAAAAAAAGGTGGTCGGTAAAAAAAAAACAAAATGATCTTCACGATGCAGACAGGATGTATGAAGTTCACAGGGAGGAACTTCTCGTCAACATTATGTCTTTTCATGTTTCGAATCTCAGGATCTGTTCCCTTTCACAGATTGCCGCATTCTCGGGAAAGCTCACAGACTGCGATCAAGTTGCTTCTAAAGTATTGGGACCTTCAGAATTTAGAACCGTTCAAAGACCTTATCCTAATCGAATGAAACACCTTTTCATCGTCACACTTTCCTTGATCCGACACTTATTTAGAATTACATCCCTCAGACAATACTGTCGTGGAGGTGGATCGTGGAGGTGGATCGTGGAGGTGGATCTGCAGTAGCCTCTGAACGCCTCTTATCGGGTTCATGTGGTTAACAATATCCTCCAGCACCAGTGGTCTAAACGACACGCGGATCTAGATCTTTAGCTTCATACTATGAAGATCCAAGACCACATCTTTAGATTAGGATCAGATGAATCTGTAGATTTCGCCAATAAAAACGAGGAAAGGTGCGAAAAAGAAAAAATCGTCTCTGTCTATCGCGCGTTTACCGCACGATCAGGAATCGTTGATTCAGAAAAACCAAGCCGCCGTTCATCGAGAACGAGAAGTGTAGATTCCAACTTGCTAAATTTTTCGAGGACAGCCGTTAGACGCTCATCGAGCTTCTTTGTCCCTTCAGCAAGCGTTTGGACTGTCCGCACGCTTCCGCTAAATCGAGTCCTCGCAGCAGCAGTACTATCACCCTTATAGTTCCCGAGTCCGAACGATCGAGAAGAAGAAGAACTAGGGGTTTGCTGCAAAAGAGCATGATGATGCGAGGAGGGAATTAAGGCTGGTAAAACTCCGCACTGAAGTACTGTTTTGCGTGCGGACAGCAAATTTTCAAGGGCATCCACTTGGCTTCTTCGCTTCTCTCCCAAAAGGCTCAACAAATCGTGAGCTCCAGCCACGCTCCAGAACGCGGACAATTCGCGTAAACAGGCGTCGATCTGCAAATAAAATTCGAAATTTCCACATCTATTTGAAGACGGCGTTTAAACAGAGATATTGGGGGTGCGCAAAGCTGTCACAAAACGTCACCGCAACTGAGCGTATATTGGCAAAAAAGTGAATTATCTAAATCTAAATTCACGATTTAAACTGGAAGATTTTTTGAAAGAAGGCTCGAAAATCTAGAAATGGGAGCATATGCAACGGTGATGTCAGTCAGTCGGCTTTGATATTACGCTGAAGTACCATTTCCGTTGCTTGATCTAAGCCTACAGATTCAGCGGAACCGGAAACGAAGTCGATCTCCTCCAAAGTATTTTTCTTTGCGCATTGCAGCTCCTCGTCTCCAAAATCGGACAACTCTGCGCCATTTCTTGGAAATAGACCTGCGTAATCTGCCTCCGCCTCCGTCAGAGCTTCAACGAGGCTCGGAGCAGCCCATGATGAGCTACCAGAAAGGGTGCTCGATGAAGTGCTACTCTGTTGAATAAGCAAAGACTTTTCGACCCTTGCGATCCTTGCCTCAAGCGCGTAAACCTGAGTGCGCCTGTCCTGCGCGTGGCTTTTCGGAGAGGATGAAGACGATTTAGTACGAATAACAGCATCTCCAGAACTATTCGACACTTTTCGCAACGCATAGCTCAGTGCGGCGTTTCCGGGACCCGCCGTTTTTTTAGCACTTTCGACCTCGCGGATCAATTTTGTGATATTAGCATCTTTCTTTATATTGCCAAATGCTGACTCGCCCATTCGATCGCTCTCACGCGTTTTTGGTCCATACAGGGATTGATCCAAAAGCCCCGTCGCATTTGCAGCGCTTGCCCGACCTTGTGCATCACGTCTTTCCAGTTCTAGCCGTGCGTTGCGTCCCTCAATAACATGATCAGACACAGCAGCTTTGAGTCTAAAAAGCCGCTCCGGCAATGTCTCGGTTTCCGGAAAGGCCTCCCAGCTATAGGTCGAAGGACCAGAAGCGACGGCTTGCGCGCCGTCACCGATTCCAGCTTGCCTTGACGATCCGTTGCTAGCGTGAGAGCGTCCCTTCCCCTTGCTAATTTTCCCGGCCGTACCCACTCCACCAGGGTCTCCACAACTCGCATTTTCAGCGCCACCAACGCCTGCCATGGCAAGTCCGAGAGCACTCGGCGAAAACGTTGTGCCTACATCGTCTGTGTTTGTCCGTGTTCGCGAAGATTCAAGTTGTGAGTCGCTTGTACCCGAGATCCCGATTCCTTCAAAGACGTGGTCGTCGATGACCGAAATAGACCCCGAGACGACAAGTAGTTTCATTTTCCGGTTGTTAGGACAAAGGTTCAGCTAGTTCCAATTTTCATTTTGCAGAAAAACATTGCGCTGTGCAGTCGTAGAAAAAACGATCAGAAACCAAACAACTTGTCCCAACGGGTAAACTTTTTTCCTAGCACGAACAAAAGGTGCCGCAGGGAGACTTGTTGTGAATTCGTTACCAACCGGCGGCTGATACTTGCTCTCGCGGGAATCTAGGCAGCGGCTATACTTTTATGTAGGTACTTTTTTATTGTCTTACTTAACGTTGCTTTCCACTTTCCTTTTCCTACAACTCTAGACTGCTCTAACAACCTTCAGAAAAACTTCTACCATATCCTCTCTCATCGACTTTTCACATGAGCGCCGTCTGCGCATTTGTGGTTATGCTGTCACATAATAACCTTAAACATCCATGCGCCGTTTTCGTCGCGGTCGTCCTGCAGCTGTTCCTCTTGCTATCTGTGCCTACCAAAATATCTTCCACAGATTTCGCACGCTTTGTGCACCGTGCAGAACACGCGTTATTGTTGCCTTTCACAGAAGGTGGTATGAAGGCCCGGTAGCGCCGCCACCGTCCTCGTCCTGGTTGAAATTTCATTTGATTGAAAAGAGTTTGGATCCAATGAGTGGACAATTTCTTCTATGCATCGCCCTCCCAACAAGAGTAGTTGTATTTACTCTTGTCTGACCACAATAAATCCCAATAAATCCGCAGCATACATTTTTTCATGCAGGAAAATGGTGAAGATCGTCGTGTATCTCGCTATTCGAGAGACAAACCACTTGCTCGTTTGGTTTTGTTCATGGTCGGTGGAGGTCTGTTCATTTACCGAATCGGACGAAAAATGTCGTTTGTGTTGCAACTGCACTGGTCGTCGTGTCGCTTGCAGGTCGTCTTTCGGTAACGAGACACACTTCGATCTTAAATACTTGTTGTAAATGATGATGCAGCCCTTATGACTGAGTAGAACAACTGAATAATCTTATTTTCTGATGATTTTTGTTGGGGACTCCCAGTCGATGTAGGGAAGGTATGAACCAAAACCAATCATATTCAACAATTATGCCATGTGCACTGTTTCTGCCTCCCGCTTCTCACGACGAGACCCCCCTGTCCTATGCACAGTTCCGAATCACTCAGGCTTCAAATCGGAAAAAATTGATCATGACCACGAAGATATCACGTAGTAGGACTTTTTTGAGAGACAACATAACCAAAGCCTCAAAAATGGCGCTTCCCTGCGATGTCTTCTACCTTGCATCAAGAAGTGGTAAAGAAAAGAACGCGTCGACCCTTTGCGTACTTATACTATTTCAGGAAAATAACTACCAGGACATATTCTTATGGAGATCCACTAAACCAGTCCCTCCCGATAATCCCAACCCCAACGGTGCTTTACATTATCCGAGTATTCGTTCACATTTTTCTGTCTAAATGATCTATGAACAACAACTATAACTAAAGGCATATGTCTAAGAAATCTATTACTGTTTGTGTGAAGACTGTTTCAATGATCTGCCGAATTTGATTTGTTGAAGGACTAATAGTGTGTGTCAAATAATAGGTTCAAATATTAACGTCAGTTGTAAGAAATCTGAGGAATAGATCCTTGTGCTTGATTACGGTTTACACAAAATTCGAATTGTTATCCTGTTGAAAAATGTTGTGAACGAGTATTTCGTATGTCTATGGCAATCATGGTCGTGTCGAGCAGTATGTCGATCGTGGAAAACCTGTGTCTCCATCCATCCATGTATTTGTGCTGAGTCCACAACAAATATAAATTTTTTTCGAAAGGAGACCTCCTCTTTGATATCCTTTCTATGATCACTACTTTTCATTCAATTATTATCCCGATTATGGCTATGCCCAAACCCGTTTTCTGTGTGCGTATGGAGGTATACATCAACTATTCAGAATTAGACAAACAACCCAAATCGAAAATACAGTCGAGAAAAATGTGCACTGAGCACTCTGCGTCGATCCCTAATTATTTCAATGCATTTGGGGAGCATTTTGGTTACTACCTCGTCTTATTTGACACCACCTTGTGTTCACCGGCGGCCACCAACTGCACTCAACGTCGGGGAAAGGCTCCCTGGTCGTCGGCCAGGCATTTTTGAGGACCGCACGATCTTGTCGGCCGTCGACGGCAAGGATGACCGGAGGCGCGACGCGCTGATATATTTTGTGGAGTCGATTTCTTTACTACAACTACAGAAGCGAGTAAAATTACTATTACGATTAGTCAGAAAAAAATAATTCACTTGTTGGTGCAGTTCATTTGACGTACTAAATTAAATCTCTCTATCTGTAATCGTCGTCACTACACCAAACAAGAACGTCCTCCTGTAGTGAAACATACAACTCCTAGCTCCTAGCTCCGGAAAGAAAGTACCTAGCTCCGGCGCCGAGCAAGGGCGATTTGCCGCCTTCACTATCGAATAATCTTGGGAGTGTCGTGGCTGCAAGAGGTGTTCCAGCAATCGCGGTAGAGGCAGTTGGGCTGTTGTTTGCGTTGGTGAGGCTCAAAGTTGTGCTCGCCATAATGGCATTTGCGGCACCTGTAGCACCGTCCAAGGTGATTCCTCCAGCGCTTTTGGTTTCAGATCCGAGGGATAAGGCTGAGAAGTTTCCCGCGAGGCCTCGCATAGGTCCTGCAGATCCGCTCGTTGCCGCCAAGGAGGCTGAGGGAGCGCTTCCAGGAGGTACACTGCTGAGACCACCAACAGCCCCGATGATGCTGTGCGAACCCGTTCTGTTGCTTGGACTAGTGCCTCCGCTGTTGTCTTTGTTCTCGTTAGCACTCGCTGTGCTACTCCTTCTGTTGTCAGCGGCCGTGGTCAAACTTCCCGTTGCGCCTCCTAAAAACGATAAGGAGTTGCCGACGGGAGCTGGGCCAATCAAACTTGCCGAAGAACTACCAGTCGCAGGGCCAGCGAGGTGCGACAGGTGGACAAAGGAGCAACCACCAGTTGCACTCAGACCGCGACCGGCAGCGTGAACTGGGCCAAAGTTTGTGCGCAGGTCCAAATCTGCCTCATACCGAACCAAATTCTCAAACCGCTTCTGCGTCAGTTCTAATTGCTCCACCAGCTGTCCCATCGTGGGTGTATCCTTCAGCTTCACGCTTTTGCAGTGGCAGGGTAACCCCCCCGCTGTGGTACCTGGATTGGTAACAAGTTGTTGAATCAACAATTTTGCTGTTCGTAGTAGTCGTCATGGTTCATGAGAGATCACTATCAACAAGCCAATTGACCGGCCACTGTATTTTTTGTCAGAACTACGTGGAAAAATAAGTAGCTGTACAAATACGTCCGACGCATTACCTATGAGTCGCAATGTGGCTGTTCGCTCCGCAATGCCGTCACCAACTGACACGAGGTTTGTGTAGCGACCATGGAGCATCTCACGCTTGAAGACATCGAGTTTGTAGGTTAACATGTAGTTCATCGGCTTTGCGAAAATGGGGTACGATCGAATTTTGGGGTGCAACAAAGGCATAAAGGCTTGACAACTCGTGTCGATCCATCCTGGCGCACTGTTCGTAATAATGAGCACTTTTCCATACTTTTCGGCCAAGTTCAGCGTGTCGATGCACTGTTTTTGAAAAGATTTCCATTTCGAGAAGGAAAACAAGCAGGTCTTAAACGAAAAAAAGTGATGAAACTGCAAGGTAAATGTTGTATCTACGACCCGCACCGGTTCATGATCAAGACCATGTCATGCTCATGCGGCTTGTAATTCTTGATAGTTCCTTTTTACCTATCAAAATTTTTGGTTTAATCAGTATCAGTATCTATAGTACCGTTTGTGCGAGGTGGTTCAACTGCGCGACAACCTGTGGACGCAATTTTTGGCACGGGATGCGGAGAAGACGATTGCGTTCTAGCGCAGACGTCGGAAAGAACGTGTCATCCCAATCGAAGACAATGACAGTATTGTTATATGACGTTGCAGCCGACACTGAAGTAGCTGTTTTGTGTTTTTCGATGTCGTGTATGAGAAGCACACGGGAAGAACGAGCCAACTACGTCTAGGGAAATCCTGATAGGTCCCTTAATGATCAAGTGAGAAGTTTACAATTGTGAATCATGCAGCATTGGATTTCTATAAACCCTCCTCGTCAACAACAGAGCTACTTGCACGTCATCTTATCGATGTGAACCTGTGTGCGTGTCATGTTACGCACTGGCACTATACACGGATTAGGTACGTTAGATGTACGTCTAGGGTTACGGCTAACTAGTACGTTCTTTAGATCAATACACAATTTCTTACCAGTGCTATTCGTGCTGCTGGATATGGCACTTGTTGTGCTTGCGCTGGTGTTCGAGGATCCAGGTTTTGATGTGGGTGAGTTGCTATTGACACGCAAAAGCGTCGGAGGCAAACGGCTTCCAGCGATCGTCATCTTTAACAGCAATAGGTAAGTCTATGACGATGAACAGCCTTTAATATTGAGATCAACTTAGTCGTTGAAAAAAAGATATTATCTGATTATGATGCAAGTAAGACCCAAATATGTCCTAGAGCTTACCAATTTGTCGATATTGAGCTAAAAAAAAAATGAACGCGAATGACGAACTTAAAATCACTGCGGAAAGGTTCAATTACTCCAATAATTGTGTTCTCGAGATCAGTTTGTTATAGCTACAAATTTTCTTAGTGCACCAGACCGTGATTTTTTCACATCAAATGGCTCAATTATTGTTTTCCAGATAACCTAGTCCGGAAAAAAAATTGCTCTTGTTTTGCGCTGCGCAAACATCAACTACATAAAAAACTCCTCGAACCGATTAGAAAACTAGACAAACTAAATAGCCGTGGTGCTTATTTGCTATCTACGATTTTCCTTCACCCTTATGGAAAAAACATCAAATAGGACGGGGTAGATCAAGGTCACCCGATGATTTTCATCACCGAGTTTCTCCGTTCTCATACACTTCCCTGGAAAAAAAACAGAAAAAACTCATCAAGTTCATGACATTATCGTTATGTTCTCTCAAAAAAAGGCATACAGACGCTGATCTCAAGAAAACAGATGACTTCTCGCTCTGCTCGTCTAAGACAAGATGGAGATACATCATTACAACGCCTCGTCTCTGAGGGATAGATTTTCTGCCTCTATGCCGATCGCATCAAAAAAAAGGTGATTCTCATCATGCTTACCAAAAAATCCATGTGTTTGGTCTCTTCTCACAGGACACAGACAAGCTCGTCACACTATCTTGAGCACCATAACATTTCCAGTTGCAATTGTGCATGAAAGTTATGGACATAGATCTTGTCATATACGATAGATAAAAACTCTCTCTCTCTCCAAGCAATACTGATGAATCTTGCTGCTCTCACTCTCACACAGACGCAACAGCGCACAGGACAACAGACTCGTGCCTCCAGGTGAGATTTAAGAAACAAGAACACATTATTACTCAACAATCTAGATCTGCACCGGTTGCAATGAATTGTCTTGCTTCGGCAGAGGTGGCTCTGACATAAATGTAAACAGGCTGTAAGCCAAGAGTAGAGTGGGTTGGCTGTTTATCGGACCACCCCATTCGTATTCTAGGAGTCCCAACCAATGACAATCCTAATTTTCCTACATGATTATCTTCACACCCCGGGCCCGACGCGGAGCAGCCAATTGGCGTCAGCGTAATTAGATACCTGAGTTTCGTGCACTCCCGTGATATCTTTACAGCCATTTTGTCTATGAACTCCTCGTCAAACATCAGCGAGGAATAAAACACCACGGTAGCATCCGACACGTCCGTCGTTAAAATATTATCGCACCGAAACTCGATCCCATGGTCGCAAAACCACTCATCATCCACTTCCTGATTGCCAGTAGCAGAATTTTCTCTATTATCAGATGTAACTTCTACTTCCCTGTTGCTAGTCGAAGGAGACCATGACTTCCGCTGGCAGAATAGCCTCTTCAGTACTTCCTGCTTCAGCAGCCGGCTCGTTTCATGTCTTTTTCGCCCGAGTTCGACCCCGATGGCCTTTCTCACACGCGTGGTGAGGAAAGCCTGCATTACCAACTTCCCCGTTCCCGAACCGAGGTCGCAAAAGACGTCGTCGGCGTACAAACCAGGTGGATAGATCCCTCCATCGACAAAAAGCTTTGTGGCGCTTGTGTACGGAAGCTCTCCATAGACAGCGGCGTGCGTCCCCGATCCCGCGGCGACGATCGCCTCCAGTGATGCCGCGTCCTCTAACTGTGAGCCGCCGAACTGTCCTCCGAACACCTGCTGAGTCGCAGAATCAAGCAGCGGCTCGAAAAAACAACTGCTCTGCATGCATCGTCGCTTCTGCTCGGAGAGCTTGCGCGGAAAGCCCCCTGTTGAAGACGCGGCCATCTTGCTCTTGGCCGTTTCCTGATCTTCTAATTATAAACAACATAGTATCTACCCTGCTGCATCCGAAGTACTTAGTATGAATGTTCGCTATCTTTTCCTGACCCTCTGTCATAATAACTAGGTGCACACGACGTGTGCATTTCATTTTCGCAAAAATCCCTTGTAGTTTGACATTTTTCTCGCGAAGATCACGTCTCATGACTTACTTCTAACAAGCAACGCGAACAATCACTTTCACGGATTTTCTTAGCGGAGACGACTTCACTTTTTCTGACGGTGGGGAAAAATTATTATTATGGAAGGGGTTCGCCAGACAGTCTCGCTAAGGCTAAACGTGCTGACCTTCCTGGGGTTCCCGTGGCTTTAGGATTGTGATGACTTCCGGGCATTCTATTTGATTTTGTTTTTTGATGCTGATGCTGTCTATCTTGTCCTCTCTAGTATTTCAGTGTAAAAAGTAGTTCTTTGGATATTCAACCACGACCTAGCTGAGCAACTTCTCCGTTTTCAGCAAAGCGCGTACGAAGGCAGCGCGTTGTGAATACGTCCCCAGCTGTGCCCAGTATTCGGGACACACCTCCAGTACTCTCCACCCGAGACTCCTGAGGTGCTTCCGCATGTTACTTTGAAACGGTCCGGCAGCTGCGAAGTTGCTCGTTCTCTCGACGTCAAGAGTGCTGATATGTTCAGCGTCGTGTTCCTCCTCCTCTGCTATCCCACGCCCATCGACATGTTCATCACAGTCTCCGTAGGATGTAGTGGATGTTGATCTTGATGTAAGATTATCACGGGTACTATCGTCATCCGTATTCTGATCTTGATGCTCGATTTCACTCGGACCACTCGCTTTCCCATTCCTTGCTTCAGACAGCTTCGTGAAAACAGCCGTTTTCCATTGTACATGACACAGCGGCAATGCATAGGGCCCAACCATTGTATGGTCGCCGGGGAAGCCATGCTTTCCCAAAAAATGAGCCAGCTGATGCAGCGTGCGACAGTCATTCGTTTCTAGTTCCGCTATTGGCGCAGTGTGCAGTATGAAATTCAAATTTGGGATAGTGGGGTCGAATTACTTAGTAGATGCATGGATCTGTTAGTTCCAGTAGCCAAAAGCATCGAGGAATTCTGATGCGGCGCAACTCAACGGGTTCACGGAGCGAGAACCTATATTCTATCATTATTTGACATTACTTAGTACTTCATGATTCTAACTCTAAGCATCCAGATCTAGCCTCTGCAAGAACATCCTCCATAAAATCCCAGTCCCGCACCGCTGTCAGAAACATCTCCGTATTGTGATCAAACCCGATGTCAGTCGCGTCCAAGCGCAGCATCATCTCGATGTATTTCAGCGCTCGAATGTCGCACACCGCAGAGGACGAATGCATCACTATCTGTCATAAATTTTTTATGCGGAGAAGTTGTCGCTTGACACTTTATATATTTTTGGCAACAATAAATTGACTCCAAACTCTGTTGCGGGGAACCAAGATATTGTTGTTGTGTTTCTTGTTAGACGACAGCGGATATAATAATCTTCTAAGCTTTCATCTCAACCTACTTAGCTAGAATTATCCACTCACTCTCGATCGCATCCATCCTAAAAAGTTTTGAGTGGAGGAATCGTCGGTAGTGGGAAGATGAGAATCGGGAAGGGGAACTATCGGAGGTGATACTGATAAGCATACAGCTGCAGTTGGAGAAGATGCAACTTGCACCCAACCCAGTCAGCGTAGGACTCGGCTTGCAGAGGCGGGCTATTTTTAAGGCGATCGCCTTCATCTAAAGCGGGGGGCTGTTGTCTGGCAGTGCCGGCAGCTTGTTCGTACATCGTGAGCACGCAAAGATATAATCTCTAGGACGTGCTAGTGCAGACGAGTGTGATTATCTGACAATCATCAATAGGATAACTAAATTGAAACTGTACCCTAAGCAACTGCTGCACACTGCTCTCGTTGTAGCTCCGGGATTCAAGGAGGTGATGCAAGAGCCAGATAGCGGTTTTGACATCCAACTGAGCAGTCGCGACAGAATTGGCATAGCGATAAAGCGACATCTTTTCTGGAATGCTCCAATTAAATCTCCGGAACGTCTCGATCAGTCCACGAGCTTGCCGCATCACTTGTTGTGGTGGAGAGAATGAAAATGTGGAACGAAGGTGGAGGAAGTGAAAAAGTAGGAAATTCTAATTCAACAAGACCAACTTCTCGTTTTAGTCATCGGTCAGTTTCGTGCTCGGGCTTGGTAGATACGAAACCATAACTTTTGAAGCGCGTCGGTTGCTAGGTAATCTGCGTATATTTCCATGAAAGCGGCGAAGATCGATCGTGGTACGATACTCTGATCTCCGACTGAGTCGCAGACTGCTACTAGCTGCTTGAGTATTCGAATCTTTAGATTTAGGTCTGAGTCACGGACAAAATGAGGATTGATCTTGGTGACAAATCGCGACAGAAAACTTTGCAAGAACACGTAGCCGTTGAATTCGTTGTCCTTCTTGTCCTGACGTTCTACAACATCTCGATCGCCGTGCATTGCTGTTTCGACAGGAGGAGCGCTCGTCTCATTCTCATTTGTTGCTTGCAGTTGCGCCTGGTCCTCCGACGCATCTCCTTCAGTCGGCGAAAGTGAGGAGACGGAAGATACTCTTTTTTTTAGAAGCAGTGGTAACTTCTCCAATATGGCCGCAAGGATCTGTGAACCAGCTCGCAGCGGTGGGGTCCAAAGCTGAGCTAGGGATTGGTCCAGCAAGGCTTCAAACTCTTTAGGCGTCGAGACCTTTTCAATGAGGGCTATTTTGAAGCTCTCTGCGTCCTTTATACCGAGATCCTGAGGCGCAGATGAAGTGGTCGCAGAAGTGTCTATTGTGCTAATAGTGCAAGTGCTTTCATCAACTTCAACATCTATTGCTTCCGCTGTAATGCACGTCGATGTTGCTGGCTCGCTTTTCATCTTGCCGTTTACTGGATCCACTTCCACCTGGTCGCTTCTTATAGTCTTTTCTTCGTCGGTGACCTGATTCTCGGATTCAGCTACAACTACCTCTACTTCAGAACCTTCGAGTTCCTTTTCTTGTGTCGTGTGCTCTACGACCATTCTATCGTCTTCCGCCACCGTTGCACGCATTCCGTTTTCTACTTCTACTTCGGAGATACAACTACCAGAAACGCTCGTCGAAGAACTAGATGACTCAAGCATGGCCGTAGTAGATGAGGCATTCATCGTGGAACCAATCATAGTCGTCGAGGGAGTAGATGAGGCCGACGAGTCAGGGGCATCAGGATTCCAACGTATTCTGACCCCAAGATTGCTATTCCATTCTGACACGCGGTCCTGCGCCTCCATCTCGTCTAGGACGCGGTCCATGGTGTCTATCTGTCTTGCAGTTTCTGTTTTGCATTCTGATGGATTTGTCTCGTCACTGCTGGGTCGAGGGATCTCGTCACTTTCTGGCGCAACAGGGAGGTCAGTGGTGCTACTACCTGTCGTTCCCGTTTCAAGGACTATTTTATCAATCTCGGAGTTCCCATCTTCACTTGGTACACTTCCGCTTCTGAAAACACTTTTTTCGTTAGCGTGTTCATTGTCCACCTCGTTTTCCTCTCCATTCCAAGGTCTCGCTGAAGTTCTGACACACGTTGAAGACATCTCCTCCAATTCAGCACTTGCAGGTCGCTGCAGTTCTTGACTTTGAATTTGTCCATCTTCTTTTATCCCTGTCCGTATCCCAGCAAGACCAGCACTAGCATCCGCGGGCCCAATAGGTCCACGACCAGCCTTGTTGGCGCCGCGAGACCTTAATGCCTTTTGACTCTCCACTTTCTTCTGTAATGCGGCTTTCAGTTTCGCCAGCGCTTGTGTCTTCGCTTCCAAGGCCGCTTCCCTTGTCTCACGCGGATCCACAAACGGCCTGGGCGCGCTAGAATATGCTCGATGACCATGAGCACGCGAAGAACCATGCCTTCTCTCATTATCGTAGTCGAATTGTCTTTGTCGTGACAAAGGGACGACTGGCGCTCCACCTTCCGTGGTTGGTTTCCATAGTCGTGCCGTAGACGAAGAAGATGGTGTTGGCCGAGACGCAAGAACAAGAGAGCAAGTGGAATGCGCACATTTTTGTGATGAAAGAACAACAATCCTCGACCCCATGTTTATCAAATCCGGTGATGACTTGCGCGGTCAGTTAAGACATATACGGCCGATATTACTTGGTACTCGCTATATTTTTCAACACTAGCCATAGTTTTGTGATGAAACTGGACATGGACTAATAGCCGGATAACAAAAACAACATGCAGTACCGACACATCGCTCTGCCGTCGCTGCTGTTTACCACCTCTTGCACATATTTATCACTCGACATTATGCTCCCATACAGAAAACGATCGACCTCATTTTCCCGCGTGCTTAATTATTACATCTCGTCACCACTTCTAGAGTTCGAAAACCCAGTTTTCGTTTTGTTTACACCGACGGGAGACACAGAAGAGCAAACGCACTCATCAAAGTGCATTTCTACGTTGGGGAAGGCAGTTAGTATGCTTGATAAAAACAACAATAACAATGTGGGGCATCATGCATTTATAAATGTCACTCGTCATGGTTGATCAGGTAATAGTGACTTGAAGTGAGTATCAGCTGAAGGTGAAAAGCTTGTTGTTTTGCGCCTTCCGCAACTTTTTCTTGACAAATTCTGTTCCCAGGATGCGCTCTAATGCGTTAGAATCTGCGTCGCCGTCGACCAGCGTGATGCACGCTGGAGGAACCTCTGGGCGAGTTGGGGTAGTGCCGCTCTTCTTGCTCTTGTTAGTCGAGGAGCCACTGCCTGGTGCAAGGAGATCCTTGAATGGTGACAGCCATCGTAGACCTTGCATGTAGCATTTTTCCGGCACGCCGTAAAAGCAAAGATTCTGGCAACTTTTGATGTCGAATTCTGGATGATAGAAGAGGAAACGTTCTGTCAATAGCAAGACACGCACGTTACCCTTATTGAAATTCAAGCGCGCCTCTTTCACCGTGAGCCACTCGCTGTATTCGTCGAAGGCCAAGAAGTCGACACCTTCCTCTTTGAAGAATTTCTGGATCGTGAAATAATCGGCATAGCGGTACCCGCTGCCTGAGACAACGATGGTCAGATACTCCATCTCCGCTCCAGAGCACTGCCAGAACTGCTTCTGGAAGGCGCGAAGCAGCGCACTGGATGATTCTTCATCCGTAAGAGCACTTACCAATTTTCTCTGTTTTTCTCTCGCTACGAGGAACATTTGCCGGTCAATGCCAAGTTCCATGCGCGCTCTTTGGACCGCTTCCGCTGAGTATTCACCGCACAGCTTCACTGCACCTCTAAAATTCGTTTCTAAGGTCGTAACTTGTTGCTCCTGCTGTGTTGTCGTAGTCTCATTTTCTTCCATGGGTTGTTTGTCTTCATCCGAACCCGAAGCTCCAGCACTAGAGGACGATACGAGCATGGTATCGAGTTCGGGCGAGAGCCCGTTCGAGGTGATGATGGTCTGTCTCAGCAGACGCGACTCACCCAGGGCGAAGCAGCTCCGCAGCCGAGTGATGTCGCATGTTTGTGCCACACTCTTCTTCGCCGGCTTCTTGTTGTTGTACGAGGAACTGGCTTCTGGTGTGACATTGCAGACCTTGAGGCAGTCCATCACATGTTCGAGATTCTGGAACTTCATCACGTCTACGCGATCGAGGACTACGCATTCCAGCGAGGACAAGAAGTCGAATTCCCGGTTCTGATTCTGTTCGTCGCCGATGATGAGCCGCAAACCTAGAGGGGAACAAATGAGGATGTCGCTCTGGTAGAACGGCGTGAATAGTTTTAGGGCCCGACGGGAAACGGACATACCAATGCGAAATTTGTCATCATTGTTGCCGGAAAGAACGTGCTTCAAATCATGCGCATTGCGGTTTGCGAACAGCACTGCTTCGTCTTCTTCTTCACGTTTCTTCTGATCGTTCTCGTCTCCGTTCGCATACTCCGGTCCCGGACCAAATTGCTCGTCGAATTTGTGCTTTTGCAACACCTGCTTCGCGTTCGGGCACATCTCCTGCATCATTTGTACCAACTCGTGGGCCACACTTCGATATGGACACAGAATAAGCACTCGTGCGCGACAAAACCCCTGATCGCGCTGCTGTTCGATGAAGTCTTCGTCATCTAGGAGATGCGACTCCTCTGGATTCTTTTGGCACGCATCGATCCGCGTGTTGTTGGCTAAGACCTCGACGCGCGCCTTCAGCACGTGATTCAGTACGTGCGCAAGATAAACACTACGAATGCGCTTGCTGGTGTCGACATTGTGGTAGGGAATAACTGCGTCTCGGTAGCAGTTCAAATGGTGCAGCAAATGCGTATCCCGTGGCAGGCTAGTATGGGATGCTCCCTTTCGGGAGGCAGACTTACTCTTTTTATTTTGGACTCGGCGTTCATCCCAATCATATTTTTCGATGACTTTGGGTCCCTTATCGAGGAACAGCGGGAAATATCGCTTCGCTAGGTCTTTCGCGCTCTCTGCGCGGGTTCCTGAAACAGTACTGCCGTCACGTCTGCACAAAGTTGTTGATGTTGTAGAAATAGTGGACTTAGGCGTGGTCGACGTACTGGCACTCGAAGAAGAGCTGGACTTTGACGCGACTATCGCGAGGGCTTGAGTAGAATCCTTCTTCCATTGTTGTCGGAATTTTGCATCCGGCGCAGCTGTTGAGCCAGCCGCACTCGCAGACTCCGCAACATGTTCGAATTCGAAAAATGTGCCGCGACTCGTCCAGACGGGAACTTTCTTTTTGGTAATGCGGTTGTAGTCGACGACGGCAGCGCGCACATCGGAGAGACGGAATGAGTCGTAGTGACTCTCGCCACCACTCACTGTCGCCGGTGATCTAAATGATGTCTGCCCCTCGTGAGGACGGGTCGAGTTTTCATCTCCGCATGTAATTGTCCTCTCAGTCGTTTCGTCGGGCTCCATTTTGTCATCTGCACCAACATCTTCGTCGTCGCTCTCCCCATCTTCGATATCATCACCTCCATGAAGCTCTTCTTGTCGCTCACGTTCTTCCCTCTCTTCTCTCTCCTCATCGTCCTCCCCTTCTTCCTCCATGCCGATGTCTTCGGCGTCCGATGCATCGTCTCCAGCATCCATTTCTTCGTCCTGGAGAACGTCTCCTGAAAGCCCTCCTTGATCATCTTCCGAGTCTGAAGCTGTTATTTCGTCATCATGATCTGGAGTAGCGTCCATACTCTCGTCATTTTCGTCGTCCATGTCTTCTTCTGCCTCTGACATCTTCTCGGAATGATCTTCACCTGGTGCCTCGTCCGTCGGTTGTCCACGCATTTGCTCCAGCAGGAGCTGATATGCGGACTTTTTCTCGACGTAGCACTCATCATCGTCGCGGCCCATCAAGGAGCTTTGGTCACCGTCACCATTTCCAGCCGATGTGAGTTTCTTGTCTTCCTTAGCAATGGCCTTATGTATGCGTTGTAGCTCCTTCTCTTTTGTATCGATCTTCTTCTGTACCATGTCCTCGCGGTCGAGTTTTTTCTTACCGCCTTTTTTCTTCTTGCCACCGGCTTTGGCAAAGAAGCCCTTCTTGCTTCCGCCACCGCGTCGTTTCCCGCGACCACCGGCGCCCATTTTTCAAATTATGGAAATGTTGATGACGCTGTTTGTCAATACGTGATTACCTATGCCACGACCTGATACAAATTAATTCATTTCTGACCCAACATCAACACATATAATAAAAGGAAATGCAAATCAAAGGGGCCTGTTCAAAAATTCATCATGCACGTAAGAATGAGACGAAGTCGTGAGCTATCGTTGTTCCGTCGGTTTCTCAAAATAAAAAAGATCTCAGATAGTTGCTTCTGGGGAGTAATCTTCGGCCACAGTATTTGATCCAGATTGATCTTGAACTTGATCTTCTTCTTGGAACTTCAATGCTACCTAGTTGTATCAGGCTGTGGTAGTTTTCTTCCACAGCATGACCTTGGGGACTCATTCTCCTGATCCACATACTGAAAAGATCCTAATTGAGAGTTACTGTCGACTAAAGGCAACAAGTCTGTCAGGTCACGAGAACATTGTTGTGACAAGAACGTTATTGAACAGATTCGAATGAATTCTGTCGAGTCGCGTCACCAAAAAGTTTGCCAGCGGAACATCATGCTTTTTCCCTGTTGCGGGCAGATGCTCGGTCGGACATCGCAGCAACGTTGACGAAGTGTGGAGGCTCTAAAGATTTCATAAATTGTCCAACGGCATAGACATTTTCATTTCATTTACTATATTGGTCAAAATTTCAAGTTTACAAGAACATTCATTATTTCAAAACAGGACATGCGTGGGTGAGGGGTGATAAGCATCGATTTTCAGTTAACCTTGTGAAGGAATCATTCATCTTGTTCATCGTGATCACATTTCATAAAAATCAATCCATAAACTACTTTCTAGCATGAAAAAATTGGTTTTGCTCCTCTTTAAAAAATATTTCATGATTGACCAGAAGAACAAGTACCCAAGTTGGTATCTGCAATCTTTTGAGATGAAAGAACAATCATTTAATATACTACTTCTAGTATCACCATTTTCTAATCGTATGAACTTTGTGTACCACTCCGATTATGTTAGTCAACCCCAGCCTGATGTAACTCACCTGAAAGCATCAAACTAAACCGATAAAGAACAATAATATCGGAAGTGCACCTTATGCGAGACATGAGTCTTAAGCGAAAGTACAGAGACAAATTTGATCGCAAGTACATAGTGATGCTCTACTCTGTTGCGCCAACACACGTAGTCTCGTCTCTATCTATGTAGTGCGAAAACTCAGAGGCGAATTGCCTGCGGATTAGCCACCACAAATAGCTTTTACGAAAAGGCGAGAGGAATGTATTACATCCGTTTAGGGAAGAAACATGCTTTTCTCCCTGAATATGATCATTGATCAATAGGGTACAGCACAACTTCTACAACTTCTGTTTACTTTACAAAGAGTTAACCGAGAAGGAGGCTGGGAGGTGTATTCAATTGGCATACACATACTACCCTAAAATTTGGAAATTAATATTAAACAAAATATGATTCATCATCCTTATCCACATTTTTATGAATGTCATTTATTCATTCTAAATCGAAGAAACTTCTCATGCTTTAACACACAGCTATGTTGAACATTTGATTCTCTAAGGGGATGGCTTTCTTCTAGATTTATTCGTCAGATAATATGGGAAACAATGGTTTCCTTTGTCAACAAAACTTTGAGAGGATGTTCATATCGATGAAACAGCCCAAAATCCAAATTTTCCATCAAAAAATATAATATTTCTCTTTGTTCTTGAATCATGGCGGGTAGAGCTCGTACTAATCCTTTTTCTTGAATGAACTGATATAATTATAGAAGCTCCTGGATATAGAAAGAAGGTTGAAAATTTTTCAGCGATGATGATCTTGTAAAGAAGCGCAGATATGGGACGAGGAACTGATCTCCGAGAAAGTGGGGGAGTACTGGAAAACAGATATGAGATATCGGAGTAGAAAAGTGCCGGGTCAAAACTTGTCTCATCGGGGTACAGCGTAAGAGGTCACAAAATGGCACATCGAGCCCTGTTCTCCGAGCCGATTAAAACTGCCAGTGCTCCTGCCGCAGCAGTAGCGATACATGTAAACATTTGTCGCGCAGCGTGGTCATCCACATCCTCTCACGAGGACGAACAATGATTAGAGCTGAAAATCGTGAAGGGACTGTCTAAGGAGTCAAAGGTTCAAATTCCTTGAAATAGAACCTAGAAGCCAAAGACGTCAAACAACTAGATGCATCGGAAGATGATTACGTATCAAGTTCACATGGAAAGTCATCAGCCTTAAAATTATTACTTATTCGAAGAAAATTGTCGCCGAAAGTCTGCACCAGTTTGATTCTGGTATTCCTGGGCGTCCATTTTGACTCTTATGGACTGGTAACGCGTTACGCTCATGGAATCCAAGAGAGACTGGTCGATAGCCTTGCGGTAGCCACTCTTCTTGCATAGCTCTTCGATGGCGGTCTCGCGGCTCATTTCATGCTCCGCAGCGACCTCAGGCAGGTAAGTCGCGCTGTGCTTCCTGGGTCATAATTTTGGAATGCGATGATAACTATGCTAGATGGCCCTTGTGCTGGGTCCGCGCTATGTAAATCTAGAGACAATTACGACAACCTGCTTTGAAGCTGAGAGAACGAACGAGACCACGAGAAAAAGCACGCCCAACTTGCCAACACGGGGGAAGGAACAAGAAGTCAATCAGTCACTGCTATGCGACGGAGTCTAGTTAGGTTAGGTTATCGATGTCTGGCCAATGACTGTTGCATGGAATGACATCTATACGAGAAAGTAGTAAGAATGGAGTCTAGTACCTACTGGCATTAATTCAATTAAGCAATACCTGCCAGTCATCGGGCATGTGAAGTTTATGATCAGCCCATGCTTTCCGACGACCCACTCGTAGCAATGCCGACACTCCTCGAAACTGTGCAAAACAGATACTTGACACGTTAGGGAACCTGTATTTTGATTGAGATTGAGGTGTTGCTAAAGCGCAGTTGACTATTCTCTAGCATGATCAAAGATAGGGCATCCATTTCCTGAAAGCGTTAAAATCGCCATCTTGGTTGAAAGTAACGCCAAAGTCTTAAATGTGAGCCTACACTTGCACTATTTTCTAGTACTGAGTTCGTTGGCTTCAATAGGAGAAAATCTGCTATCTTCAAAGGCAGCTTTGAACGCGTAATCCTTCAATCCTGGGTCCAAGGAAAGCGGCTCCAAACAGCCTATACAACCACGTAGATTCTCGTATGGCCCAGCCCACTTGTTCCATGTCACCTGAAAAAAGCGAAAAAGATGAAGAAACGTAAGGCGTAGTTTATCATTCTAATGTGTTCTTTAGCTGATAGCACTACTAGAACTAGATTAATTACAGTGGGACGACGCAACAACTGAAGCAAGTGGGATACTGTTATCAACTTTTCGTTGCTCAACATAGTCTCAAAAAACTACGAATAGAGGCGCTTGGAAGTTCGGGTCGTAGCCGTATGGAAGTTGCGGATCAGCGAAGCGTCCTGCTGGATTGCGTAGAAGATGCGCCACAATTATGTCCCAGACGAAGGTACACAAATCTTTCTCAACTCGAGGAACTGTATCGTAGATATCTCCTTGCTTATTCGAATTGTCGTAGTCGCCGTCGACGTTGTTGTAGTTCTTCCCCCCATAGTAATCGTATTCGTGCTGCTGAACAAAGTGTTGACTTTTATCCCCACTGTGATCGTATGGCGCTGCAGAAGATGCTCCTGCGGAACAGTTCTTATCATAGCGATTACTGTTGAAAGACTTGTAACCGTTGTAGGCGCTCAGCGATGATTCTGTTGACACTGTCTCATCGCTGAAATGATCTGGGGCCTTCGGGACTAAGACAGGCCCGCCAATGCGACCCTGACCGGACGATGCTCCGCTCAGATTATTCATCTTGGATTTGTTTGGACCTCCCTTTGCTTCTTCGTTCTTGTCCGCCTGTGCGAGCTCCTTCGTAGTTCTCGGTTTTCTCCACTATTGCCTGCTTGCTTTCAACGATCCACTTGCAGCTTCTTGCAGCTGCAGATCGGCAATTTCATACTGTTTTTGGCTTGACCATCTAATATCGAGTAGGCTAGTAAAGATAATATCTTTTTGTGTAAGTGGGATTCAAACGCGAGTTGTTCTTGTCGTCAATTTGCCCTTGCCGTGAGTGTTAAGACTGACACAAGTAATCATCAGCCATACCGTAAACCTATTTTTTTAGCTTTGTCTATTTCTACTATGTTTCGTGTAGTACCACCGACTGGCGGATATAACATCCTCCTGGAAGAAGTGCTAATTCAGATCTAGATTTTTTAGAATTTGCGCGATGGAGACAAGTTTCAGCTACACTAGGACTAGAAGAGGCCACCAAATTAACCTGATAGAAGATAAAAAATTAGTCGCACACTAGATACTCAGGGACTTATGCGATCGTTGATTTTTGAGTTGTTGTAGAGGCAGCGTCCATCCCCTTCACACCGTACACGAAATTGGAGGGTGCTGCCGCGTACAACTGTCCTCCCGTCCGAATACTAACTCTTTTTGCGCATCTTTGTCGCGGCCTTCGTCAAACCAAGCTCCCCAGGAATAAGTGGGACAACTAGTCTGATCGTCTCTGATTTGTAGAGACGCAACAAAAACTTCTTGCAGAAGCACTGTATGTGGACGGAGACGCTGACTGCAGCCTTCTCGGCGAACAGTCTTATAGTACGTCACAGTCTCGGATGGTTAATCAACATGTTGACTAACCAAATTTTATACAGATACACTACACGGCTTAATCCCAATTTAAGCACAGGCAACTCCTATCGACAGCAACATACATCGAGATCCTCGAGCGGAAACATCCGTGCCTAAAAATAAACATCAGCACCACTTTCGAATGCTCGTCAACAACATGCTAATGGTAGTGGGGACGGTTATGACAATATGCCGAACTACTGTCCGATTCATTGCGCAATCCCGAATGTTAATTTGCAAGACGACGATAAAGCGAAGACAATAAGGAAGACAATGACTAATTAAATTAGAGAATCAAAAGATCAATATGCGTGACATCAAAAGCCTACTATTAACGTCATGCGAAGAAGCCCGCTAGTGCGCGTGAAAGAAATATACAGGGGAAAGACAATGATTTGTCAAAACGGAAATCGAAATCCATTAGAGGCGATCTAATTGACTTTGCGATAATTTTGCAAGTTACGAACGTGGGCAAGGATATAAATGGATGAACTCTGGTAGGCCTCAACTAGATCAAGCCTTCGAAAAACTACGAACTTACACTGAGAAGTATCAGGAAAAGTCAAAAATTCTAATTGCAGCGAGAGCGAGGTGGGGTATGAAAATCCTACATACTTCGAGAGCGGGAACAACAAAAAACCTTAGCGTTAGCGGAAGTAGCCTGTAAGAGTGAATGGAGCGCGAAGAGCGTCTTCACATGTGACAGAATCTGTGTCAGCTCGTCTACCTCCCACCAATGCCAAAAGCTGTGAATTTGACTGAATTCATGACTTTGTGGCGTATACCTTCATAGACATCTGTAGAGAGTAGCAAATATGATCCTATAGGATCGAAAACGATGGTTCTCTTATACACTTTACTGTGTATGGTTCTCGTCTCATTCTGGGTCTCTAGTAGAGCAGCTGCGGTCGCGTTGTAATCCATTGCTGCTTGAGACAAAGATATTGGGGTTGTGAAATTAGAAGAATCTTGATTGATATCGTATGACTCGAAGGCAAGCTGAGAAACAAAGCGCCACGAAACTCGATCTTTTGGCCTTTTACATGGAGCTTTATGTCTGCTAGTTGTACATAGTCTCTCGTGAGAAGAACAGCAAGTTTTAGCACTGTTGTGCGAACTTAATAGGTCTGGATCTTCTGAGTCTGAATCTAACGCCTTCAACTCCACGTAAGATTTGTTCTCTAGTACAGACTTTCGTTCAACAGCTACTGACAACTTTTCTCTCGTCATATCATTGTCTTGATTATCTTTCTCGATGAACGAAACTTCACCTGCCCTTCCAGCGGCAGGGGCAGTTATCTTGGTGTCCAAAAGTTCGTGCGATGTCTGGTTTAGCACTACGAGTGCGCCCATTTGCTTGTCGGGGCTAATGCGAATGCCGTACCATCGCCGACTTCCGTAACGCCGCGACTGGAAAACATAGTCCAAACGACGTGGAGTCGCCTCGTAGTTTTGCTGGTCTCCGATAGAAAGTCCATGATCCTCTGCAGCATCGACACTGCTGCCGTCACCTTGTTCTTCTTCAATCTGCAAGTTTTCACTCGTATCTCCCGCATGTAGATCCCCTCCTGGCCGGTTATTAGCAGCACACAGATGGGCCAACTGCTCCACGTAGCCGAACCCCAGAGGAATGTGCATGCCACTGGTTCGACAGGTCAACCCCATCACAAAATCTTCGCCCGACATAATTTTGTCTTTGGACGATTCTCGGTGAGAGGCGCATCTTGAGATAGGCTGCTGTGTTACTTGCGAGGCTTTTTTCGCCTTCCATGGCACCAAGGTCAATCCGGATTCTGGTTTTATCATCACGACACTGCCACTCCGTTGACGGGAGACGCTTCGAGCAATTGTGCTGAGATCTACGAAGTCTGCCTTTCCATTTTCAAGAATGACCTTTCCAGTCAGAGAGAGATCGCCTGTTGTCAAAAACGCTTCCAATGAGCTCACGATTGAATACACACCAGCAGGCGAACCAAAACTTCTACTCGTCTGAGAGGACCCTTCGTCTGGATTCTCCCCGGGTGTCGAGACTTCAAACGAATACGGATGCAGATTCTGCATGCTGCCCTCAGGAGATGGAACGCTAGGAAGATCGCCAGATGTTGAGCTTGTTGGGTCGCCAGTACCCATTACACTATGATTTGCGATCTGCTCCTGCTTCTCGTTCACCTCATTCATCGAGCTTCCATCCCTCTTCTTCACTGCGATAGGTGGCTTCTGACCAAGCTTCCATTCTGTCAGCACTGATGCCCTTGGCAGGCGACTACCCCCATCATGGAATATCTGCGGTGGTAAAGTCCTCAACAATTCATCCACTGGTGCATTCTGATACTTCGATAGCACGTCATCCAGTACCTTGTACCGGTCGCCGGCTGCAAGGTAGCGTGCAGCAGCGGCAGCTTCCCACTCAGCTTGATTCTTCGTTTTGGCTGACGCCTTTGAGGAATCTAGTCCTAGATTCTTTTGCTGGTCTTCCATAATTGATGGATCGTGAGAGCGGCCATCCATCAGATCTTCACCTTCCCTACCATTGGAAGCGGCTATCTTTTGGTCCTCGTCGATCTTTACCTTTGGAGGAGCGGCTTCGTCCTCGTTTCCTTGATGATACCGAAATGCAAGAATGACACCTTCCGACAGTTTCGAAACCTGATCCGTATCGACCTTCGTACGCAACGAAGCCGTTTCCCGATGGAATTTTCGGAGACGTTCGTCCTTGCCTTCAATGTGAAACGGAGCAGCCGCTGCAGCTGTAGTGGATGCAGACTCAACTCCCGTTGATGTGCTCTCGATTTTCTTTTCTGCATGTTTATCTCTATTTTTTTCACTATCCACCGCATCATCAGGTCGCCATGCTTTAGACGCAACTGCCTCTCCAATGTGCCTTTCAAACCTCGCAAAACCCGCCAATACGAATGCATCCACTGCGTGCTGTACTGCTTGGAATTTTCCGTAATCGTCTATGATCACATATTTTGGCCGCAAGGTCCGACGGGCTTCCACCAGATCGTGCCATGTCATAGCACGAGTATGTACGCAGTCAAGAAAAAGAATTGAAACCTCACGACGAGTTGCTGCAAGATTAGGACTGATCGGTCGAAGATCTTCGCAAATATCGCCGCTTATCGAAGGACACTCTGCATCTTGCTTTTGCGTTTGAGCAGTCTCTTCGGTATCAACTAGCCGCCCCAAGTAAGGCAGCCGTGCTGCCCCACTATGGCGCAAGTCGGAACCTGATGAATCAGCATTATCAGTTGTACTTATTGTCCAAGGAGTGTCGAGAAAAGAGTGCAATCGAAAGAAGAGGATGTTCTTTCGCTGTCGCAGGTGCTTTATGGCAGGCATTAGATTTTTTTCCAAGATGTTCATCAGAGGTGTCTGGCAAGGTTTTGTTGATTCATAGGTAAACGTAAACCCGATAAAACAATTACGAATACGATGTTCATCATCGTTAGGAGGGGAGAATTAGAGTCAGACTTCTTGAAAAGAACTAAACGACCTCGTTGTGTAGTCATAATGAGTCTGCAAGAAGCTTCAAAGAGTCGTCGATTGCCCAGACTTGATGACAATATCGGCTCAGCAGTGCCGTAGTTTCTCCCTTGTAGACCCCCAGTTCCACTGCAACATCGCACCCAGTCCTTCCAAAGCGTTGCAAAATGAAATCAATGATGTCTCTACGAAAGCTGTTGGATATAGTCCATTCATCTCCGCTGGCTCGAGGAGCGGATACAGGAGCTGCCGAGCCCTTGTCTGTCTGTGTCTGTCCCTGTATCATCGTCGTGGCAGAGAAGAAAATTGGCCAGACGAGTGGTGAAATGAGCAAAATCATCCTGAATGCGGATGATCGGGGAGGGCCACAACATATATTGCGAGAGCGGATGATCCACGCCTGTGCACACACGCATGAAGAAGGCGTCATACTCATAATCGCCGTGAAGCTGACTTATGACATTTATTCGACTATTAGAAGGGCCGATGTTGTACTTGTCGATGCTTGTGACTTAAGTTACGCTCTTGAAGATCTGAGGCGTTCCACCACTCTGAGAAGGATCACAAACATTCAATGACGTACGTGAATCGCTTACGGATCATCAACCAAAAGGGGCTGCGCGATGCACGATTGTACCATCCGAAGCGAGGCCCTCTCGCTACTATGGGTGAAGAAGTTGCTACTTCATTTCGTGTGGCAGTTTGCGTCAAAAAAAAAAAAACACACACACACACACACACACAAAATAGAAGCTGCAAACTGTCACTCCTAGTGTGTGTTGCGCGCCAAAATGAGTAAGTAGTGGCTCCGCATCTACAACTACAACTACTCTCTATTTTCATCCGAGCGACATATTTTCATCAGGATGAACCACGCGAAGCGTGCCGCGGTGATACAATTACATTCTGCATTCCACACCCTTTTCATGTATTTTCTTCATGAAGGTGACAAAGTAACTTCTGATGCTCGCGTAAGTGAATGATAGATTGATGGTCAGCGTCAGGCACCGGACAGGCATCGGGAAATAAGGCACCAAGCGTTATCAGCTGGAAAATTTTTCTCCAGCTGTGCACAAGCAAAAGAAAGACAAGCGTAAGTGAATGAGCTTTGTTGAAGCGGAGACCTCAGTGCTTGAAACAGTGCGTAAGTGAATAAATAAGAGGACAAATTAACACGATAGACTCTAACGCGTGATGGGGGTGCGGGAATGGAATGAGCACCAGATCCAGGTGTGGACAATGTGCGAGCGGAAATGAGGCAACTGAAGCGTTGCATGTGTCCGATTGGTGAAGACGTGTTGTCTATCTTTGCTTTCAGTGTTTCGATGACTCACTACATCAATGGGTACATACTTTCGTTCTTTCGGATTCATTATCTTGGTAGAATTCGTCCTGTACAGTAAAGCAGTCAAGAATCATGTTCCCGCCCCCCTGGTCGGAACAAAACCTTGCGGTTGGGGTTGCTTGATGATGCTAGATGAAAAGAACTTGAAAGAACTTAATTAATATTTAATCACAACCAGAACGAGAACCAAGAACTAGGTACGTAGAAATACAGTTGCGCGACGCTCGAGATATGTGACAAGTCCAATGGTAGATTGTTCGGCGGGCGTGAGAGTAGCCGTAATAGATATCGAGTTTTTCTCTATATGAAGAAATAGAAGAACCAAGCGGCTACGATATATATGCTCCATGGGTGGAGGCCCCCGCCTGTGGATGGAGCGGTGGTGGCGTCCGCGCGCCCTATTTTTCGCAGTGGTGACATGTAAGGACTCACCGGGGAGAAGGCCTCAAAAGGCGGAGCCGGAGGCCCCTGGCGGCTCTCCGCGTGGACCCCACAGGCGTCCCGACTCTGGGCCTGGGGTCCTATCAGAGGCACAGCCGCGAGGCCTGGCCCCTTTGGCCCCCCTATGGGGCAGCAGGGGCGAAACTCATCCAGTGAGGAGCCCCCCCCGCACACGAGGGGTCGGCCGGGTACATGCAACACGGCAAGGGGGTCAAGCCTTGCCACCTGCTGCCCTCAGAGTCCCTCGACCCCCCAAGGGGCTCCCGTAGTGAGGAGCCCGCTCCCGGGAGATCTGTAGCAGGGTACACGCAACACGGCAAGGGGGGCAAGCCTTGCCACCTTTGCCGCCTTCAGAAGCCTGCCACCCCCGGCCGTTGGTCCTTGAACGGCCTCAAGGTTTGAGTTCTGTAGGGTACACGTAAGAAGCCGCAAGGGCTCGAAGGTGGGCCTTTGGAGGCCTTCCCGCCCGGCAGTTTTTCAGGAAAAAGGGTCCAGGGCTGGAGGCCCCCCCTCAAAAAGTTAGATCGGGGGAGGCCTTGGCCCCTGGAGCATATGTATATAATGGCGCTAAGTCAGCTAAGAACTGCACAGCAACGGCCTTTATTGCCGCCTCCTCGTCCTGGAAGTGCTCCGCTTAGCGGCTTTTGCCACTTGCTTCCTCTTGGTTTTTCTGTCTTTTGGTTTCGTTTCATGTGATTCCCCGCGCCCCTCCAGAGTCCACCGCACCAGCCTGCACATGTGTGCTGGGGGGATTCTGGAGGGGCGCGGGGATTTGGAGGGAGCCCGAGGCTCTTGGCTCGCAACTGGGTGAGGGTTTTCCAGAAGGGAGCGCAGTAGGCGGCGAGTGTTCTGCGGATTCGTGTCATGCCCGGAAGGATTGAATTTTGTCCGGATTTTTGCAGTCCTTAGTTGAATTTTCTCCAATAGAAAAGCTTGCTCCCTCTCCAGAATTGGATCGGTGGGCACGCTTGGCACGCTGGGCCGCCCAAAAGTGGGGCTTCTGCGAAAGATTTCGCCCACCGTGCGCCCACCATGAGCCTGGGGGCCAAAAATCGAGGCACCCTTCGGGCGCCTATTTCTGAAGCCTCCCCGGCAGAGTAAGCAAATGCGTCTTGGATCCGCAGCAGGCTGCACACGCCCACCTACTGGCCCGCCTGGGAATATCCCTCAGCAGCGTCGACCGCACATTGCAGCAAAGCACTGAGGTACACTCCAGCGCTGCGCCGCACTCTACACGCCCAGGCGTTACTGCATACAGCAGCGAAGCACCGCAAGCAGCGAGAACGTGGCCACTCCGCAAAGGAGCGCAGCAGCGCGCCGACCGCGTCTGCGGCCCTGCACATTGGCGGAAGCAGCGGGGCAACGCCATACGCGACCAGCGTGCCCCTCATGTGTGCCAAGGGTCCGCCCACCGTGCCAAGCGTGGCCGCCCAGCGGCCCAGCGTCGCCCAGCGCCCACCTTCCCACCGTCTATAAACTATTCTATTATAAGTAGACTTTATTAAGATATTCGTCACTTCAGTGATTCTGTCTCCTTTTCTTACACTTTTCAACAAGAACAATTACAAGAAATATCTTCGTTCATGTAAACCCAGACTAATATTAGACTCCTATAAATATATTCATGCATGTAATATCTGCTTCTAACTAAGTAATAAATTACCAACTTCTACTTGCTTATACTTTCTGCGAAAATGTGAGTCCTTACTTACTTATTTACTCCCTATTGAATTTGAAACTACTCCTGTTTGAAAGATTGTCATCCCTTGGCTCCAGGGCGTCTCTTCGCGGTGACGATTTGGAAGGCTCCTGGAATCCGGTATTCTTCTCCTGCGCTATCGTGATGGCCGGCCTTTTGCCTTGCCTCATCCAAGCCGTAGTTGTTCTTGCTGCCCGTGTTCTTCGACTTTGTGGTGTCCGCGAACTGCTCTGTTCCCTTGCCGAAGCCACGTGGTTTTGATTCGTCAGTTACGTGGGCACCAAGACATTTCATTTCTTGGAAATTGAAATTGTTAAAACCCTTACTAGAAGACTTACTGCTCTTGGACGATGTGGAGAACCTGAAGGCGCCCTTTGTCCTGTCCTTGCCATGCACGGTAGTCGAGATCGTTATGGCGGAAGATGAAAACTTGGGATGCGGCGTGATGCGAACTTGATTGTATCGGTTTTGAGCAAGATCTTCGATCGATTCCCGTGTATTGAACTTGCAATTAAACCAATTCTCACCGTAGGCCTTCGACGAATGAAAGAGCTTCACCTCCACAAGGCGATCTGGGGCGTGTAGCTGCTTTAATAACCACAATCGCCGATTGTCCATGGACAGGTACAAAATGTTGTCTGCCAGCTCTGCACACTGGCTTGGTTCGCGTACCATGAAAGGAAATAAGTTCAGTACAATCATCAACTGCGACTACCTAGTACTACCCACCCACATCCTACAAAAGTACTAATGAGAGTTGTGTTGCCGAAACAGGTACAACAACAATATTGTTTTGTATCGTCACGTAGTGAAGTCCAACCAGAATGACCGCTGATAAATGATACTTCTGGATCTGTTTATTCACTACTAATTTTGAAAATTCCTGTCTGAACAAAACTGCCTGCCATAGCCGTTGCCATACGCATACTTAGATACATATGGTCAGTGAAGACAAGCATGGATGACTTTGAGCACAGTGGCTAACTTTTCGATCGTAACGTTATCTTTTAGTCCACCTTGACCTTGTCGTCTCATATCGTAGCCAATGTCGTGCGAGACCACCTCGATTTGTGGGAATTTGTTTAGTAACTCTGGGTCATCACGCAATTTTCGTAGAGTTTCGTGTATGCAACGACCATCACGGAAGTGATCGCTGATAGAGCGCTGGCTATATAGGATGTCGTGCAAGTGCAAGGTTTTGTACGTCCATGGTGTTTTACGCAACGAAGAAACAACGCCAATCATTTCGTCTTGCGAAGAAGACGAGCTCCAAAGGCCTTGCTGTTCGTCCTCATCCCAGTCGTCAAGAAAGGCAAAGGAATTAGAGCTCATGAAAATTCATCTTTTCGATTGCTTCCTAAGCAGGAGGAAACAGATACAGAAGAACAGAACGACCTCCATCTCGTGAGCCTTAAAGAAGTTGCTTTTCTCATCCTCTCGGCATATAGCGCACCCCTCGCGAGAGGCGGGGCAGTCTTCCCAACATAGGCGCGTGCAGAGGTGCGGACAAAAAGGCAGCTTCTTTCTGCAGTAGTGCTCGCATCTCACGTCTTCTTCCCGCTCGTAGCATCGGCGCGTCAATGTTTGGCCGCATTTTGCACAGCGAAATTGCACTTCCTGCTTACACGCCCAGATGGTGTGATTCGTTGTCGTTTCTTCATTCGACGAGGACGACGGCAGAAGTCGAGGCTCCTTCTTTGTCCCCTCGTCTTCTACGATTGGTTTGCAAATAAGCGAAGAGTCGTCTACATCTTCATGTTCCACATTTGAACAAGCATTAGCCATGGTTTCTTTATCGTCCTCAATGCCGTGGCCCATGAACGCACTACTTTTCGGCATTTGTTTTGGGAAAATGTCCTTGCAGTAAACCCTCATCTTGTGCAGTTCCGCAGCACATGTTTGCAGTATAGTTTTTTTGCATTCCGCGCGAGAGCAGTCCTCGTAGCAGCGCAGCGGACATGGATGCCCGCACGACAGCAGCTTGCCGCATCGTTTCGGGCACACGTCAGCCGTTTCATTGCATGCACGCTCGAAAGTGTGTCGCGGGTTGCGGCTGCAGCGTTGTTTCACACGACAGTAGAAGACTTTCTGCCGATGGACTTCCCCACATTTCTTTTTTAGCGTTTTTCCACAATGCGCGCACTTTGTATCGACCTCAACATTGCAGCCGAACATCCCCTCATTGTCCTTAGAGCCGTTAAATAAAAAATGCGAGTAAATTTCTCCTTGTAACTTCTATAAAAAGTTTAGGTTACAAGCTTGTTGGCCACCGTGGTTGATTTTGTTGTGGAAGGCAATCGAAGTAAGTAATCTTAACTTTGTTCGAGCTCTGCTGGTCCCCGATGACACCACAGAGTAGCTTACGTGGCGGATGTTCCTTCGGCGCAACTGGGCAGTGTTGTAAGATCACCACCCTGCAGAAAGCACGAAGGCAGTCACCGGCATGGCATGGCTGCTCACACTTATGACCGCACTCTGGTAACTTAGACGTGGACCTTCCACTCTGGTAGAATAAAATCCGTCATCATGATGAAAAGCGACGCGATCTCGGAGTTGACTAGCTGGAGCTACTTTTTTTCATCTCACTTGAAGTACGTCATCATTTATTTACTAACTTTGCCTCACTTAGACTTACACCCTTTTGAATCTCATGATTCACATGCTATCTGTGGTGCTCAAAGTCGATTTCTTTGATGGTGTGGGAACCTTAAGTATAGTGCGACCGCAAACTTCTGTGCAGAGCAAAGACGAAGTTGTCCCATACGGGTCCGGCATATCTTCTGGACATTCAACGCGGCGTTTTGACCAAGAGTGACGCGGACAGCAAAGAGGAAGTCCTGTGCTCACTCGCCCATCGTTTCGGAGAAGGTCTATGAAGAGTTTTTTCCACATCAGGTTTGGTGTCAGCTGCGGCGCATCCGTACGAACAGCCCCACCTGCTACAGCACTCACGGAGGCCACAGTGGATGGACCTTGATTGTTTGAAGAGAGTCTGCAATTTTGAATTTGAGTACTTACATTGGTAACTTCTAGATCATGAAAATAATGATTATCATGCGCTCCAAATCATACATAGTACTTGCACGACTGCGTATACTCGTCTCCTACGATGATGTATGAAGATCCATGCTATATCGTCGGCGTTATGAAATGCCTGTCCTGTCAATCTGGTATCTTCTTACCTTCTCCTTTTTCCCCTGCGGCTCCAGCGTCCGGTGATGCAGGAGCAGCTTCTTTCTGCTGTTTCTTCTCACTTGTATTTTTGTCCTTCTTATCGTTGCTCTTAGACGCAGTTAATGAAGCGCTCGACACGGCAGCGTCATTTCTTCGATGCGGAGCGTCGTACTCGAAAGTGGAAACATCGCCCACCATAAAAAGTCCGCAGCGCCCTCGCGACTGCGCTACAATGCGACGATTGATCCCCTCAGGTCGTTTCAGAAAGCCAGCCATATGTTGCGCATTCGATCTCGTCCAAGAAATAATCACGTACTTATTCTGGTTTCCCTGGAACCCATCAATCGGCGTGATGTTGTGCAAAAAAGCGCGCAACAAGTCTTGCTCCCGTTGTTGACGGGTCGTGACTTCTACATTCTGCTCCTCCCTGTCAACGAGTCCCATATCTTGCGCCGCAGCTTCTACTGCCTCCCGCCCAAGAATTTCCGCGCGCCGCTTCTGTAGGTAAGTCACGAGGGGTCGATTCTTCTTTGCGTGGAAAAAACGCTCAGCGTATTTTCCAATGCAAGCGACCTGTGCGCGGTAAGGTGCCAAGATATGCAGTTCCTCCGGGTCAACACCCTGTTGAAACAAGTAAAATGCGAGATGCACGACATATTGAGCCTCGCGCAGATTTTCGAAGCTGTGGTTGTACTCGCTCTCGCTGCCTACCCATTGCCGCACATTAGAACGTCGCATGGTGCGATGTATTAGTTACAGTATCTTGCATCCCATGATCTCAACTCCTCGTCAGCAGCAGAAAACATCAACAAATACAAACCAACTTTTTTACTTCTTTACCTCATCTCTCTATGAACAAGAACAGATATGATTTAGTGTTCGCAATTCAACTCGAAACCGCAATCAACTCGCAGTGTAAGCCATAACAGCTATAGGCTTGCAACTTCCACCTCGCCCTGCCGTGTCCCACCAGAAAATAGGGTGTTCGATCCATGCGGGGACCTCTAGGCGCGAAACCGCTTCCAGATTGTCCTCGAGATCTGGGTATTGTACTCGTAAGTACTTCGATATCTCCGGTAAACTGCGAGCCTGCAGCCGCAACGGTGCGTAGATGGGCTGCGAAGAATGGATTCTCGTGGAGAGCGAAGCCTGCGACTTTTTCTCCTGGGATACAGATAAGATTGGGTGTCACCAATTGCGTATATTCACATGCTGAGTTCAGAAGAGGGGACGCCGTTTTTTCTCATCATGAACTAGAAACAGAATACTGTTAGCTAGGTCAGTCGCTTAATACCTCCATTTTCTTTTCGTTAAGCTTGATCATGCGGAGCATTGCGGACGTGGCAAAGTTGTGTTCTGTACGAAGTATGTCCGACTCGACCATAGGTGGTAGCTGCTGGTGATCACCGATCATGATAAGGTGCTTCACCCATGGCCCGAGACACGGAAGTAGAAGAGGCTCAAGCACCTCTGCGGCTTCCTCAACAACGACGACATCCGGTCGCAACTGCTGAAGAACCTGTGTATGGATCGAAGCCCCGACAATCGTCGCGCCCACAACAATCTGCGACCGGAGAATGCGAGCAACATGCGAAAATGAAAGAGGCGAAAAATGTTCATGCGAGAGTGAAGAAGTCTAAGCCATTCCACAAGCATGACGAATCATCGCCCTGGTCCTCCTGATTTGATATCACAACTTCATCTCCTCATTTAAATACAGCTGCGTGTACTCTCCTACAAGGGTTAGAAATTCAAATTTTTGTTTACGATAAGACGAGGCTGATGTTGAGCAGCAGACATAAAGTCTCACTGAGTTGCCTCTTTTCGCTTTTCACCCTGTCATGCTCCGCCTGCAGTGCCTTGAAGGAAGCATTTACCTCGTCAACAGACGTTACGATGAGCAATTGAACAAAGCACATGCGCTTCCTGTTATCCATTTCCCACAGCTTCGTCTCCCCAAGTATTGCAGCTTTTGCATCGTCAGAAACTCCGTTTATGATCGACGGGAGGTAAGGAATATCCTTAGAATTAAGTGCCTTCACACGCCGCTGACTGGCCTCAACCCCATCGATTTCATCATCTAGATCGCTTTCATCTTCCTCCTCGTCGGTCGAGCTAGTCAAAGACGAGTCGGTGGCGGACGTCGTGCTTTCATCCACGAAGTCGGAAGAAGAGGCTCCACCATCCGATGACAGTTCTGAGATCTCGTCTTCGGTGTCTCGGTTCATATCATTGCGTCCTCGTATTCTCTCCTTCTTCCGTCCTGTTGGGCCGCTCAGCAATGTCGTTTTCCGGAACTTTGTTGTTGCCTTTGTACTGGACGCCTCGCGACGTTCCGCTTGGACTTTTTTAGTCTCTAGCTTGGTTCTTTTTGCTTCTTCGCGTCGTGCTTGTTTCTGGGCCTGTCCCCTTTCCTTCATCTTCTGCATTGCTTCCTTAGCGCGGCTTTCGAGCACCTTTCGTTGTTGGCATACGTGTTTTCTTGCCGCTAGCTCTGTCCTCGGATCAAAGAAGATAACTTCCTCTAGAGTGTTTAAGTGCGCTTTCTCGTCTTCCTTTGCTCGGCCGTACAAATGCTCGCTTTCCTCACGACACCGCTGACGAAAGGCCTCGGTTAAAAAGTCCGCGTCGTCTTCTTCTCCCAATGGTGCAGTTGATGTTCCTCCCTCACCTTCAGCAGTGGTTCCTGCGCCTTCCCGGTGTGAAGGTTTCTTCTTGCGTCCGTCCAGCAGGGCCTGACGCGTTAGCGCTTCCTGTTCTCTCGCTGTGAGATCGCGAGATGTAGTGCTACTGGGCAACAAGCCTGCGTTTCGCGCCGCTTGAGCTGCAGCAGCCGCGTCCCCCTGCTTCACGCTCTCCTCTATACGCGGATCTTTCCAGTCAATCGGGTTTTCGTCCCCGAAAAGGTCTCGCTCTGAACGTTGCCTTTCTCTCGCATACTGCTCGAAGTCTTCTAGCAATGGAACCCACTCACTGAGAACCTCGCTGGTTAATTGCGCAAGCCTGTCGCAAACGTCTTGCCACTCGAGAGGTAACCTCGCAGGATTCACGAAGAAATCCGCCACAAGTCGTGGTTTGCGGGTCTGTACATTGTTTCGTCGTCCAGGCCCCGCCGTAGGTCGAAGATCCCGTCCGGAGGCAAGGAAGGCAGGCCCGCTGCCCGCTGCAGCTGAAGACGATGCTGATCATTAGCGAGTTCGGCAGTGGCCACATACAACTACGTAGAATGCCAATTGCGGCATATCAATTTCATTATGCCATATATTTCGAATTCGATGGCCTTTTTGGTCCGGTGATGATCATTATGAATCAAAACAATAAATCAGCGCGGGTGCAAAATTGCTGAAGATGAATGATTCTGAGTTTTCAATTTTCCCTAAGAGACGGAGCCTACACGTACAGCAGAACCTCGAGATACTGCTCCTAGCTGCTCTCGCCGCGCCAAAAAGTCTGAGATATGACCAAGGGCTTTTACCAGCGAGCCGCGCGTGTCGTAGGCCGCCAGCATGTAAGGCCTTTTAGCGTCCCAGGCGCCTAGCAGCAAAGCATGCAACTGTTCGAAAGATACGCGGAGCAAAAATAGCGTTGGGGAGAAATGGTTAACGCGTCCGAACCTGCGCATTGCTGCCGAGAGGCGCACCTGGATGCCCTTCAGTTGTTTCGAAAGCAGCATATACTCTTTGCGCATCCGCCCGGTCATCTTGTACTCTTTGCTCTTTTTCAAATTGTACAAGCGCCGCTTCGCGAGCGCTTCGGTCTCTGCAGAGCTGCTGCTGTGGCCAATCCGCACCAGCCGGTTGGGAAAGGATGGCAAAAGTCCAGCAAGTGTCTCGTCAAGAGCCAAATTCTTGTAGGTCACGACCAGAAAGCGCATTTGGTCCTCATTCGTATCAGACATGCCCATGATCGGAGCAGGGGCGGTCCCTGCAGTGGTCATTACACCAATATTTTGCGTCGTTCCATGATGCTCCATTTTTCGCGGTGGACATTTATTCCGATACATCTTCATGGCGCCACGTCGACGCGTGTTGCAATTCTGTATGCCCCGCATAGAGTGCAAAATACGAATGATACGGCGACCGAGAAATGACTTGCCGGTTCCAGGCGCTCCCTGAATGATCGCTACGCGACTGGTAAGGACGTGTTTTACAGCGCGCAGTTGAAAGTCGTCCAGTGGTGTTGCAATTTCGTCTTTATTATAGGTTTCTAGATTAGCATCAGGACGCTCGTCCACCAGAGATGACGAAGACCCACGTCCACACGACGAAGCCAGTTGTCGAAACTTTAATTTGTCTCCTGTATCTCTAGTTCTTGTACTTGGTTCTGCTGCACTACTAACATTGGAAGACGAAGTAGTGCCGGTGGCAGGTTCGCTATGATGATTACGAGGATCTGCCTTGATCTTGTGATCTTGTTCTGGGACACCAATTTGGTCTCCCTGCTTTGCGTACATGGCCAAGAGGCTAATCTGCTGACACGCTACTTTGACGGTAAAAACCAGAGAACCAACATGAGGTCCGAAGATAAGCCGCGCAGGGATAGTGATGCGATCCTTGCCCTCGTCGAGGTAGAAAAAGTTCATCAAGCTCTGTCGCTTCAGGGCCGAAGACGGTTCGCGCTCCCACGGCGCAGGTATTGTCGAACTATCGCTCCCGATACCAGGAGGGACGCGACATTAGAATCGTTTACAACTTGCTAAAACTAGGGGTCGCAAAACGGAAGCTACCACAGAATCTCTTGAGAACCATGGTCGCCCGCCTTTGCTGGGACAGGAGGAAGAGCTGGCGTATTTCTAGATTGCAATACTCATGTAGCTCTAATAGTAGGAGTTCAACGAAGCCTTAATGACTGAGAGAAGCGTCTGCTTTGGAGTGCGACCGAGGGGGGCCAAAGGCGGCGTCTTGCTGAGCACGCCACGCTGCGCTGTGGAATCGGCCAAAAATTAACTCTTGGTGAAAAGCCAAATCTCGCACTGTCGCGAAGCTTTGCCGCAAAACGCGAAGAACAGGACCGTACGCCGGGTAATAGGTCAGCTGCTCTGCTAAGACCATAGTTTCACCACTGGTAATTAGAAACTGTAGCAATTAAGTCAAGTAGCTCTTCACAATCAAACATTCTAGTACCGCTTGCTAGCGAATGCGCTGCGCTTTTTAGCTGAAAAAATGGTAAGCGTGAGATAAGTCCCGAGAAGATAATAAACAAGCCGTGATGAAACATGAGACGCAAATGTGATGGCTTCCGACCATTTACTTTCTTCTTTGCACGTGATACCTCAGACACGCGGAAAAAAAAACAACTGCCCTTAACGTTATCATCCGGGTCAAAACGTCGAAGAGACTGCTCTGCTCGCTAACATCCCCGTCGTAGCTGGCCTGGCCCACTAACTCGATCGCGAACAGTCCCGTTTGTTGCAATAGCTCGGACCACGTGACCGTGGCAAACAATACTGTGCTTTCCGCGAAAGTCCCCTTTAGACTGAGGTAGACCATATTTCCATACCGGAGCTCTTCCTTGCCCCAGAGCTTGGCGATGTTTTCATCCTCCGCATCCTTTCCCAGGGCACGCTTTGACCGCATAACCAACGCCAGATTGTCGCCCATCGTCCCTCTTGTTCCACCCAAGTAGACGCCGACCAGTTCTACAGAATACATGCCCATTTCACGAAAAACGATACGTCGATCATGAATGTACTTGCTCATGGACTCCCGCACTTTCGAGATCCCATCTTCTCGGAAAAGCCGCACCTGCGTATCCATATATTCTTCGAAGCCGGAAAAAGGTCGGTCGAAGGTGACCTTCGGCAATAGTGTCTCAGCATTGCTGGCGTCTCTCAGCTCCCGCACGGTTGGACGGTCCGGCAGCTCGCGCCAGCAAACGTCACGCAGATTTATGAAATCTGATCGTGCTTCGCGATCACGCTCGTGTTTACGTAGTAAGTAAGCCAGACGATCGGTCAGGTCTCCGTGTGCATCGTGCACGCATTTGAGCGCAAAACTCAACGCTTCGATACCCCTCTGCGTCTGCCAGTGGTCCTCATAATATGCATAAAAACCGCCTGAGGGACAGAGCTGCTGCTTCGCCCTGAAGTGTTGGCCGTACACAGATTCCAGCACTTGAAATGCTTCTTTCGGCCGCTCTTCGTCCTGTCTGCCCCTGCGACCGGTAATTCTCCGATCCTCAAAATTGTGCCAGCCGCTCCTAGGATCCTGTCCTCCTCCTGTCCCTCTACTCCCTTCGTATCGCCCGGCAGCTGACCAGCCGGCGTGTTCTCTCTTGCGCAGCAGTGGGTCCGTGGCCCATTTTTTTCTTGAGCGCTGAAGTCGCCCGCGAGGGTCTTGGTGCCAACTCTGTGCTTCAAAACCGAAGCCCGTAGACAATGCACTCGATGTTGGCAATGTGTAGTCTCCACGTCGTTCAGTCATCGAGGCAGAAATGACCTCCCTCAGAGTGTCCTGGAGACAGTTTTCTGCAGTGACCAAAAGAGGAACCACAGCTCCCTCTAGAGTGGCAGAAAAGTGCTCGGAATTTTCGAGAATATGTCGCGTCATATCCTCTAGCAAAAGGCCTGCTGCTACCCGCTCACACGTCGACAGTTCATCAGCAGAATGAAGTTGCTCAAAGAAGAAGAGATGAGCAAAACTCTCGAGCCACGCAAGGCCCTGCTGTTCTTCGGCATTAGAAACGAGGAATTCGATAGCGGACATCAACACAGGCACGGGGCCCATGCTCAAATGTCGTTCGAGCACAAGGAAAAGCCGCACGACTCCGGCAAAAAAACGCGCGCGCATGCGGCTTTCCTCACATGAAAGAAGAGGAGGATGAGAATTCTTTTCCTTTCGCGCTTCATGCCTGGCGCAACTTGCCGCACGCGATACCGCACTTCTATAATCTGCGGCCTCGAAGTGAACATCTACACCTGGCACTACAGTCCTTGTGACAGTTGCAGTTTTTTTCAAACTGCGGTGTTTCATGTCGCCAGCCCTGGACCCAGAACGGGACCGTGTCGCAGCGGCCCCTGCATTCTGAGCAGACCAGTAGGTGCCAAGTGAGATGCTTTCTCCTGAGTATTTCGAGGCAACCGCATCCCTCACGCGTTGCTGGGCTGCTGCGCTTCCACTGGCCTTCCACTGCTGCAGCGTTTGGCCCGCCTCAGGCAATACGTAGTGGAGGAGCTCGCGGACGCAGAGAACCCAAAAGGACTCGTGCGCGTCGCCGAGGGCGCGCCGTCGTTTGAGCTGCAGCGGCGTGAGGTTCCGCCGCAGCGGCAACCCCCGCTGGTCAGTGCTGCTCCCTAATGCCTCATCCTGCGAGTCCGAGTCCTCTTCGTCAGACGAAAACCACAATCCGTGGCCATCCTCAGAGTCGGAGTGTCGTTCTCCTTCTTGTAGAGGTCTTCTATGGCTGCCCTCTACAGCACGTCCTTCTCCTCCTCCCCCTGCTTGATCTGACTCCGCAATCTTCTTGTCTATTTTCACTTGCTTTTGATTTTGTTGCGCTTCTGAATCAGATGAATCGTCGCTGATCCATGGAAAGTCTTTCTCTTCAACAGCAGCGCTAGAGGGCGCAGTCCCTCGTTTTTGTCCAGGTCCCCTTGCACCCAAGCTCTCTTCTCGACCTTTGTTGAGATGAATGCTCTCATCTGCGAAGCCAAGCAGTGCCCGAAGCTGGTGACGCCAACGACGAAAGACAAGCAGCTCTCGAAACAGGTGTCGTAGGCCGCGCAGCTCTTCATCCGCAGTCATCCGCTCGTTGTATCCGTGTTGTGTGTTCCGC